CATGTGGCATGTCTGAGTGACTTAGTTGGTTGAGCATCTGGCTCTTGATTTTGGCTCAAGGTCATGACTTCACAATTGGAGAGATTGAGCCCCACGTTGAGCTGTTCTGTGCTGGCAGAGGGAAGCCTGTTTGGGATTCTCTCTCCTTCCCTTTCTGCCCCTCCCCTGCTCTCTCTCAGGCACTTAAAATTAAAACAAACAGTAATGTATTTGCACATGGTCAGGCATTGGTTTAATGCTCACAATTCAGATTTAGGGCTTTCGTTAGTAGTAATTCACGTGAAACATGGATTTAATGGAATAACTGTAAATGTTTGTATAACATAAACCTCTCAACTTCCAAGCAGTTTGAAAGAGTAAGTTAATTTTATGTATTTAGGGAAAGTTAATTGGACTATTTATTAGTTCCGCACATTAAGTATTTTTACTAGAGAAAAATAACTCTTTAAAGATCCTACATCACATTGAGGTTTATTTTAAAATGATATATAGACATTAGTAAATGAGGCACATGTATTTTGGCAATCTTAATTTAAATATACTTGTTTTCTGAGAGCCTATGGATCTAAAAACATCCCACCAAAATAAATAAAATGATTAGCCCACTTAATTCTAACCCGTCCTTTTATAAATTATATAGTGGTAGTTTAAAAAATAACAGCACAAGTGGGCACTCGCTGATGCAGAGGTTGATTGTTCAGGCAGTATCCAGACTTTGCTTTTCCATTTGTCCTTTGGCTATTTTCTTGCTTTTTTAGCATGGAAACAGAAAATCCAAGAGTCCTTTCACAACCCATTTCCTGATTCATAATATTTTTGTTAGGTGCTTCAGCAAAATTGTACAAAAGGGATTTGGATTTATTTGCTTGTTTTAATTGCCCACATTGTTTTTCGTTTTATCACTTTGAGCAATAGGCATTAGCTCAGGAGCCATCTGATTAATGTTGCTGATAGACTAAAACTATTTACTGTTTTCATAAAGTGTTTAAGGCAACGTTAGGAGGGATACTAACTTTCCTTTACATTTTTTTTTCTTGAGAATAGTTTCTGTCCACTGGAAGATTTAGTCATCTTTGGATGCCTCCACAGAAAGTTTGTTTTTCTCTGTATATGAATGAAGCAGCATTATCAATAAGGTATAGACTTTGAGCATCTGAAACTGATTGTGATCAAAGGAGGAACAAGACCTGTCTGGTTTGGATTCCTTCTATAACATCCGTGGTTGTAGGCTTCAGATTTCTTGGCCTTGAGAAAAAGAAGTTAAAGGTAACTGAGGGTTTGCCTCAAGAGTCTGATCCTAGTGTTGAACTCTGCGAGATTTGGTTGGCTTTGCAAAAGTAAGGAGCCCAGCATTTCTCTGGGGGCGTCATAGTACTTAAGCTAGTCATTCCAAAAGCAAGTTTTAGGCAGTGTGTAAATTGGGAAACCTGGATTATGCTATCAGAAAGACCTGGGGCGGGGGGGGGAACATTGAGGCTGGCTTCTAGCACTGTGCATTCTAGAGGTATGGTAATAGGCTACATTCTGCCAATTCCACAACGATGGCACGTAGTCAAAATGCTCCATGTGTTCCAAGCCAAGGATTTCTGGTGTTTGAGCTATTAGGCAGTATCTTTTCCATCCTTAATAGTGGCCCAGGGGCCAATATAAGTCAGACCCTGCTTTTTTACAGTTTGACCAGCAGTTCAGCAAAGGATGGGCTTTAGAATTCAACTGCCTGGCTTTAAATCTTTCTATTGTAGAATACTTGTATGATCATGGGCAAGTTATTTAACCTGTGTCTCAATTTTCTCATCTGTAAAAATGGCAGTAATAGCCATTTTACATAGCCTATCATAGGGTAGTTATGAGGAGTAGATACATGTAAAGTGTTTAGCAACTTATAGTGAGCACTTGATTCTAGCTTTTATTCTTCCTAGAGCATATAGTTTCTGGTGTTCTGACCACTTTGCTACTGATATGAAGAAAAACAAAACCCAATCCAGTCTTTGTGAGGTATTGCCTGTGATGTCTGATTAAACTTGAATGCCAGCTTTTAGAAGTCCATAGCAGCCTTCAGTTCCCAAAGGAAGGGCTCTACTATATTTTGTCACTTAATGGTTGGCTTTATACAGTAGAAGCAATTCATAGATTGCTCATTTAGAAACGGATTTTTCTAGGTCCCAAATGAGATTCCTTGTTTGTGGACTTAACCAGTTGGGCAGTAATGAACTTTGCACTAGCTTTCAAAAGAGCTTTGCTAACCTAAATAGAAAGGCATTTTCCAGCCTTGGAAAGCTGCATCTGTGTGTGAGAGAAAGAGAGAAGTTCCCATTTTTGCTTGGTTTTCAGAATCCAAGTATCTCTCATTTATAGTGAATTAGTATGATGGTGCTAAGGATACAGACAAAAAGGCACACGCTATTACGCTTTAAATTTGAAGCAAAGGAAAAGACTTGTCTGCTCACCATCATCTAAGAAAACTTGGGAGTAACTCCAGAGAAAAGTCTCTGGAAGGTTTTTTTTGTTTTTGGTTTTTTTTTTTATTCTAGCACTCTGCAGGCTGAGGCTTTCTGAAAACCTCCTGGTGCCATTCTTCAGTTGCTGGGACTCTTCCACCTGGGCCTCAGCCAAGTTTTGAGTTGGCATTGGCCTTTTAAGGGTCCTGGCTTGGCTGTCAGGTTATGACTTTTGCTGTGAATGATGAAAGCTGACTTGGAAATACTCCCATTTGTACTTGAGAGATAAGGATTAAGGAATCCTGCCAGCACATGGGAGAACTGATAGGGACCAGCACACTGCTGGAAGCCACTCTGCCAGTCGAAGGGCCCAAGACCAGTGAGAGGTAGACTTTCCATTGCCAGGGGCTTGTTTAGATCACGTTAAACAGCTACTACTTCCTAACGATGGAGTTGCTCTGTGTAATAGGATTTAGATTTTTCCCAAATAAAGATTATTTGCTCTCCAAGTGTGCTGGGGCTACTATAGAGGTCTTTAAGAAATCCTATCATTTCTGGTTAAGTTGCTTGGGGAACAAGGCTTTGGCAAAAGATAGGGAGGTATATATCTCCTGCCTCATTTTGGAGATGAAAATCCACAAAGGTACTTGACCAGAGTCAGACTCAGAACTGTTGACAGGAGGAAGGAGCCTTAATCTAGTGCAGATTACTAATTATTAGAGGATTCATGACTTTCCCATGGTCACTCTGAAAATTGGTAGCAATGCAGGGACTAGAACTGAGGTCTCCTTACTTCTCAGCCAGAATTTTCCACCTGATGTCTGCCTCTCCAGGGCAGATGTGCTGGAAAGCTGTACTACTCGAGAAGCGGCAACCAGAAATGGCTCAAATAAGAATGATAAGCCCAGGACAGAATTTTCAGCTTCAAAGCCTCTATACAGGGATATGTTATTAGACACCTGACGTTTTCATCCTACTCCCCAAACATATTTTTAATAGACTATCTCAAGCTGCAGGTGGCATAAAGAAGACAAAACCTACTGATTTCACTTACTAGTCAGACTCCACCTGTGGCAATGGAGATAAGGTGACGTAAGCTAATTAATGAGAAGCCCAGCAGGAAATCATTAACAACAGTGACAGGAAAAACATCCTGGCATAATTTTGTTAAAATAAAAGAGCCTCAAAATGAAATGTTTTTGTTAACTGCAATTTTTTGCAAACTGTGCTTGGTATCCTGTGACCAGTGCTATTTTCTTTTTATACAGCAGTATTGGTGTTCTGATATATGAGGAACCATCAAAGGCCACCCACATTCAGTAGCCTGGTTGTAGTCACCCCTCTCACCCTGCCCTGCCCAACAACCTAGAAATAGGCTGGTCTCCCAGAATCCAGGCTGTGGAGGACAGAGAGCTTGCAAAGGGCTTGCTCTTGGTATAGAGCTTTCTTGTGTCTAGTTCTAACAAAATAATTTTTTCATAGCATTTCTGCTTTGACAGTATTAAGTGCAAGAAGATCTTGAATGAGGGTTTTCTGCTTTGTTTTCCTAATGAGAATCTGCTTTGCTTAAAACCTAAGACTTAATTCAGTATTAGTCACATAAGACTGGTTGACTGTTATTAGATTAACCTACCCCTGGCAATGTTTTGCCCCTGGCAAATGCTAAGTGTTCCGCTTAAAATCCAGCAGTGCTCAAAGATTGGAAAAGCTGTCTGTGGTTCCTCCCTTACAGAAATTGCATTCATCATGTACATGAGGATTCATGTTTCACAGATGAATATTTTTACTGTGTGCATGATTTTTCCCTCAGGGAAATGGTTAAGTTGAAGTATGCTGTCTTTAGCTTGTGAATAGAAAAACTTGGTGTCGGTGACTGAACTTGAATTCTCCCTGTAACAGTCCCCGAGTTTGAAAATTCAGATGCTTTTAGGGGCCAGAAGGGTAATATAAGTGTTTAAAGTAGCCCCTACTCCGTTCTAGGACTGTTGGCTTATTTTCTTATAGGGATGAGCCCAATGTTAGCAGATTGGACTCTCTTTTCAAATAAGAGACCAGAAACCAGATTTTTAGTGAAATCTCCCCATTTTTAAATGTTATTCTAAAACATTTTAGGCATGCTGTCTAAATAAAACAGGACCTGGGCCACATGGCTTCTGATCAAGACTTTCTGCCTTGCCCAAGAATTCAAGCAACGTATTTTACTGAAATAGATGTTGCGTGATCTCTGAAGCGTGTAAGTTTTAATACTTAAATATCTTTTTTCTCTTAACTAAAAAAGCCCTAAAACATATACAACAGGCCAAGAATAACCATTCTAACTAAGAAAAATGCTGTCAGTAAATAAATGTACCTTGCAGTGAGATTTTGTTTGGTAGATTATTCCCAATTGTTTGTTTTAGTTTAGCATACATTGAGGATGCAGATTCATGCCTGAGAACCTCCCCTAATAGAAGGGCAACACAGCTCCCCTTCCATCCTGCCTGGGCAACCCCTATTTCCTACTGGTAAAGGTTAATAATATTTTTTCCCTACAGATTGACTCAGGTGTCTTTTTAGTGAGACAATTTTTTTTTTTTTTTTAATTAGAGAGTTACTAAGGGAATGAAAATGAAGTGTAGGAATAAGGTAGTGGGTGTCTGTGCAACCTCTATGCCCAACCCTCAGAAGCCCTGAAGCTTTTTGAGGTACAGAGTCTCCTAAGGATCCTTTCAGCCCTGGAAACTGAGACCTTGCTGAATTTTGAAAAGCAATTTGGTCTTGGATATCATAGATTTACCTCCAGATTAGAATGGGTTAAAACAGATTTGCAGGTGGTTGGTGTTTTTTTTTTTTTAAGCCAACTGTGATCCCATTAATGTGTTTCTACGGAAAATGTAAACTGTTAATACATTCTCTTAAACATCACAGTGAAAAACAAGTACCCGTATGTGTGATAGATAGGGCAAGCAGAGGGCTCCACCTACTCTGTCCTTGGTAAAGGCCCTTGGCCACACTGGTGAAAATGCCAGCTTCTCTTCTGCATGAATACGAAAATTGTGCCGTCCCACTGGAGCACCGGTGGACCCCGAAGGCAGGGCAGGGGGAGGGAGTCTTTTTGAAATGTTTCCAGGAGCTCTGTCCAGCTGTCTCTCTCTTCCAGCCTGGGAGGGCTGCATAAAACTATAAGGACACTGATGAGACCATGGATCTGTTACCATTCTCTAGGGAAGACTTGGCTTGGAGTATGGCTGCCTGGATTCGAAAATGTGTCCTGGACTCCATAGAGTAATTCTTGTAGTTTTGCCTGGAAGAGACCAGAGAATCAGACATATAAGGCTACTCTAAGAAGTACTTTTTCTTCAATCTGAACTATAGGAGCCTACTAGGCCAAGGAAGATTTTGAGAAGCTTAAATCCTGGTCTCAGTTTAAAGAAAGAGTTGGGGCTTGCCCGATAGGGATTAACAGAAAGGATGTATAGTCCCTCACACTGTGGAACCAGTCTTCTTCCTGTTGAGCCTCCAAGCTTGAGGAAATGATTTTAAGAAGTCAGTCTATGAGGCTAGAAGGCAGGAGACCTGGGTGTGACCAGGTAGTTGTGGTATCCACGTAGTTATGGTGTGACCCTGGGTTAATTCACTCCCTACTTCTGGGATTCCAGTCCTCACTGGCAAATATGAGGAAACTGCATCCCCATACCAGGTGAGAACTGGGTTCCAGGGACACAGGCCTGGCCTCTGGACTGCCATAATGCTCTTTCCAGCACCCTCTCTCGCTGCTGCCTGTGCTCCTTTGCCACCAGCCAGGGTGAAGCTCCTGAGTGGGGAGGAAGACCAAGGCTCTTCAAGCCTCAGGCCTTACTTGGCGGTTTCCAGGAGTTTGACAGCCTCTTCGTTTCTGCCTTGCTCCATGAACAGCAGGGCCAGCTCCAGCAGGGCGTTTGGGATCAAGTAGTGGTCATACTTAATCTTCTTTTCACTGTGGGACAGAGGAGGACATGCCTTATAGCTCTGCCCTTGCGATATCCTGTAGGTTCCTCTTGAGCTTTCCCCCAGTAGGAGGATCTAATTCATGCCCTCAAGTGGGGGTTCCTGATACTGAATCTTGGTTGGAGAAGGTTTCCCTTCGTAGCCATAGAAAGGCTTAAGAGCCTTCCAGTCCTCTGCACCTAGAGCCCAAATTCCCTAACAACTTCTGGCTCCACAGCATGTACTTGGCCCATGCCTGCCTCTGTCCCCAAAACCCTTTGTCCAGGTTAAATGGTTTACTAAATTGGAAAGTCTACAGTCTCCATTCTGGCCCTTCTGACTTCCCATCTATGGTCTTCCAGAGATCTCCTTTTGAAGCCCAAATCTGCCCTGCCCAGTGTCCTTCCTGGATATTTAAGCAAAACATCCAGGCCTTTCTCAGTCTGGTTCCCCTTATTTCATCTGTACCTTTTCCCTCTATAACTTCACCAAGGCAGAGGAGGACCTAATCATGGTCACCCCAACCTCAGGTATTTTTCCTGTATACATTTCCAGGTACAGGCATTGCAGAATGCTGTACCTACTCCACTTAAAACCCCTGCCTTTATTTCTCTGCCTGATGAACTTCCCAGTTAAAATGGCACCCCTGGAAAACCTTTCTTGGTATCTTGCATTACGTATAGGACCCTCCTCAGGACACCTTTCCTTTCCTGTAATAGCCTTGATCATACCAGATTGAGTTGCCTATAGCTGTCTATCTGTAACATTTGTGCTCCTCAAGGGCAGAATTGAATTACGAACTCCCGGAGGCACCATTCACCTGAAACTTCAGTGTGGATGCACTCCTGTAGTTGGACAATCTGGTGGCCCTAGGGGATGAAGTCTGAATGATCTGTGCCCAGCAAGGATCCTGGCATATAGACACTAGTAAAAGTGTAGTGAATGGAGGTAGACTAGGGTCAAGCACTGGGATGCAGGTGAGGAAGGAGAAACCCAGACAATTCTACCCAGGAGACGTGGGCCCAGTAGTAGGCCATCTGGAGTGGGAGCAGCCTCAGAAACACTTACTTGGAAGAGATGCTCCTAAAATTCTCCTCAGCTTCCTGAACACGGCCTAGGTATTTCAGACAGAGGCCTTTCAGCAACTTCACCAAGCACTCATCATCCACTGAGTACTCATTCTCTGAGAATAGGGGAGTGAGGGAAGACAGGCTGGTTTATTTTTGCAACAGTTCCTGCATGGACCCCCTACTCTGCTGGTCCTGGGGACAGAGAGGTAACTCACACACGGTCTCTGTCCTTGGCAAGGTCACATCTGGGAAGTAGAAACAGATACTGAGACAGTTGACTGTACAGTGAGATTAGGATTGACTGAAGGAGGCCGAGGGGTTGTGGAAACCCAGAGGAGGCCTTGACCCTACTGGGAGGACAAGGGACAGCTTGGAGAAACTGCCATTGAAGCCTCAGTCTAGAAAGGCAAAGGATCATTACTAGGGTAGAGGAAGGAAGGACATTTTTCGTAGAGGGAAACTTTAAAACTGTAAAGACCTGTGGTCTGAGTCAGCCTAGCAAGTTCAAGGAGACCTGGGGGTAGTCACCTGGACCCTTTTCCAGCGTCTCTTCAGCTTTGTTGATAATCTCAAGTATCCCATCTGTGAGTTCAGGCTGCTTCCCAATCACAGCGTAGCCATTCCAAATGTACATCATTTCCTGAGGGCAGGGGAGCAAGTCAGTCAGGTTTCCTCCCCAGTGGGGCCTTCGTTTCCCCAGGTGTAAAATGGGCAGCTCAGATCAGAGGATCACTAAAGGCCCTTCTAGTTTTAATCTTTTATGACAAGTCTCAGCCCTGCCTGTGTAGTTTTAGGCTTGAAGGGATCATGGTTTGGAGCCTCATCACTTATTTATTGGGATCTCACCTTACACCAATGTGGATTTAAGATGGGCCCGTATCCTTGCTGTTCTGCTCATAGCTGCAAATTGTTTCCAACTAACTCTTCTGTTCATGGCTTCCCTAGGTGCTCAGCTCTTCCCCAATCTCTGTCAAGACTCTTCCTCATACTTTGAGGACCAGGCCTTGACCTACACTCTCCAGGAAGTCCTCCCTGCTCCAGCTGCCAGGATCTCCTGTATTAGAGGAACCATATTTACTTAAGCACTTCAGGATTTCCAATAGCTCTTAAGACTGTGTCACCTTCTCTTTTCCCCCAAGGCACTGGGCTTGAGTTCCCTTATAAAAACTATGAAACACATCTCGATTCCTTTCTTTGCCTTGACTGTCAGGAAGCTCAGAATACTAAATTAAATGTTAATTTATAGTAAATGTGTTAGCATTTCCTAAAATATGAAACCAGGGAATAGATGTGAAAAAAGATATTCTTGTTATGTTTTTTGTTATTATACTCCTAGAAGGGAGGATGCTCTTTCATCTTGAGGCATCTGAAGCCTGCTCACCTGTTTCCCCAGCCCCACCAGACCAGTACTTTTTCAGGCAGAGGCTGGCTCAGACTCATTTGTATGCTTCCCCCCCAGTCTCAGATAAACTGAAATCTTTTCCAGGTCCCTGAGGTATGCAGGTCTTGCTTCCTCATCCGCTTCCCCCTTGCCATAGCTGTATCTCTGACTCTCAGCTAATGCCCACAATCCCAAACAAGTGCAGGGACAGTCAAGACCCTCCTACTCACCAGAGCAGGGACTGGCAATGAGATTGGTTTGGGAGAGAGGTAGCGTCTGGACTTCCGGATGGCAAACTTCTCTGTAGGTAGAGATTTCCCAGCAATCTTAAGCTTCAAGCCTGGCACTGCTCTGTGAAAGAGATGAGGAGAGAGAGGACTGAGATCCTCAACCTGCTCAGCCTCTGCTTGGCTCCTGTCTGGGCCTTGATTCTCCAAGTTAATAGGATAGTGTTGGACTCAGCCTGTCGCTGTGGCCTTCTATCACAGGCCCTGTCCCAAGACCTAACCACTTCCTGAGGCTAGGCAAGGGGCCTCCTCCACATCAGCTGACAGAGATGAGAATGTCAGCAAACTCCCTAGGCCTGCTTTGCTAGTTATCTCACCATTCCCAGGCTTCATTTCCAGAAGGCCAGCACAAGTCTGACACCCGCCCCCCCCCCCCAGTTTCACAGGGGAGACTAACACCCAGAGAAAGGGAAGGACCTAAGACCACACAGCTCAAACCATTAATTAACTCTTGTCACGTGAGTTGTGGCTTCAGCTGTTTCAAAGGGCAGAGTAAAATACAGCTGGGCAAGCCTCTACATCTGGGGCCTACTCACTCAGCTCCAACCCGCACTCCTGCGTTCTTCCATAGGCACTGGGCACCCTAAGACCTGAGCCATCCAGGCATAGGAAACAGCTGGATCTAGTTTTGACGTTCCCTGCCTAACACCTCCTCTGCTTATTCACTATGGAAACTCTCTGGGCCCCAGTTTTCTCATCTCTGATTGGAGATGATATGAAGGGGAGAATTTGTCACCCCAAAATATGCCTGTTTGGCATAAGAATTATTTTAGGCTGATTAAGAGACAGCAGATATAAGAATAGCTGTGAAAACCAAGAAGTTGGCCTTTTGTAAGAAACTTCTTTAAAAAAGTTTTTTAAATGTTTATTTTTGAGAGAGAGGGAGCACTTACACGAATGAGCAGGGGAGGGCCAAAGAGGGAGACAGAATCTGAAGCAGGCTCCAGGCTCTGAGCTGTCAGCAAGGAGCCTGATGTGGGGCTGGGCTTGAACTCAAAAACCTGAGCTGAAGTCTGAAGCTTGGATGCTTAACCTAGCAAGCCACCCAGAGGCCTCAGACATTAACATTTATAAGGATGATCTCTGGTTGTAAGGGCATCTCCTCCGCACCTGAGAGGAGGGGGACAAGCCTTAGAAACTCTTAAAGGAGACAAGAGACTTAAATCTGCATAGCAACCTTACCCTCCTTTACTGTGCTTTGCCTGAAAACCTCCCATAACTGGCTCCCTGCCCCCAACAACTTTTATCTTCAGCTGGAGATGGTATTTTAAGGTGATGGCTTGGGTGATTTCAGTTAGTTTTTCCAGAAAAACTGGGTCTCTCCCATGTGTACAGGAGGTATACATGTTATTAAACGTTGGTTTATTTTTCTCCTGTTAATCTTTTATTATTGTGTGTGTGGGGGGGTGTATCTCAGCCAGTGTCTAGCTAAGAACCTAACAGTAAAGGGAAAAAATGATCCTCCCTCCACCCCAGATACTTACCCTCACAGGCTTTCTGGAAGAGTTAGGAGATTGAGAAGTGGAGGCACTTGATAAATGACAGACACCCTATGACTGTGACAGCAGTAGCTGAAAGCTCAGGTTACCACCACTTCTAGGTCTGTAAATTGGGGTCAGCCCTCACCCATGACAAGAGGAAGGCCCTAGGCTCCATCCTCAGCTTGCTGAGGCTGAGCCCTGCTCTAGATCCTTCACAGAAGCCAAACAGAACTACAGACTAAGAAAAATAGCCAACATTTAGTGGCTCCAGGCCTTAAACCAGGCTCTTATAGTCTCTATTTCATTCACAAAACAACTCTGCAAGACAGAAGTTGTTACTCCCATTTTATAGCTGCTGAAATGGTTCACAGTGACAGCTAAGAAATAGCAGAGGGTGGATTTCATCTTGTTTGACCTCTGGACAGCAGTGTCCACACCTGTTCCCTCTGACCAGAAGAAAGCGGCTCCGTGGAAAAGATGTTGACAAACCACTTCCATGAGGGGGGAAAAAAGGCCTCTGAACAGATTCAAAGAGCTGGAACAAGTGGCAGCAGGAGGTGGTGATGGCAGGGAATGGGGCGATCCTGGGGGGAGGGTCAGGGAGCCCAGAGCCAAGGGAATTAAAGAAGCCCACCGCTGCCCTCCCTGGTGCCCACGGCTCAGGGTGGCTGTGGGCAGCTGTGGCTGAGGCATAGGGTGGAGTGCAGTGGTAGGACCCACCTAAACAACTCCACTTCATCGTCCCCGAATGGCTTGTAATCCTCTTTCCCAAACATGCTGAGGTAGGCGGCCTTCATGTAGATGTAGGTGGCCTGTGCAAGGCAGAGCAACAGTCAGGTGTGAGCAGCCCGCCCTCCAGTCAGTCCCAGATTGGCACAGATGCCTCATTCAGACCTCACTAGGCCAGCACAGCTCCAGGGGAGAAACTGAGGGTAAGGAAGCTGAAGCACCTAGAGGACTTGTGCTGGGAGCTAAGTCCGGGAAAGGCCCATGTCAAAGTAGCTGCCTTCCCTCTGAAGCAACGGAGGGAAGGACTCAAGCAACTAGTGGATGTGCAGGGCAGTGCTAAGGTGAGGATGGACATACAGAGAAGACAGTAAGAGCTGTGAGGAAGCAATTACTTCAAATTGGAACCCTGAGAGCCCGTGGGAAGAGTCACACAAATCTGAAAAAGGACCTTCCAGGCAAGGGGAACAGCCTAAGCAAAGCCGGGGAGGGACAGAGATGTGTGTAAGAAGGCCGCAAATAGCGTAAAACATGGAATACATAAGAGATGCGAGGCAGGCTGGAAGAGTGAGTCAGGGCTCGGCTCCGGGTCTCTGCCTTCCTGTGTGCCAGGCACTGTAACATACATCACCCTATGGGATCCCAAAGACCATGTCAGAAAGGAATCTGTACCTCACCTCTGCCTCCTGGGATTGCAAAACTTGGGGCGGGGGGGACACAGATGTGGAAGTGACACTAAGTCTGTGTGGCTTTAAGGACCTTGCCCACTGGATCCACAGCCAACCGTGACAGGGAAGGTGCAGCTGTGCAGAGACCCTTCCCCACCTCCAGATATATCCCTTCCCCAGAAGTCCAACACCAGAGGAACCTGGCTCTGTCCTGCCCTCCAGTGGCCAACCCTTGAACCTCAGCTCCTGCTAGCTAGGGCTGTTGAGGAAGTACCTGCCTGCTGGTGGCCCACAGAGAAGTGTAGGGGGTGGAGAAGGAAAAGGAATGGGACATCCTGTAGTCTCAGAAGAAGGCAGAAAGCAGCCTCCACCAGGGTCACCTCCCAGGCTGAAGCCAGGGTTACTCCCAATTGCACTCTGCCCTCCATACTTCCAGTCACCCTTCACAAAAAGGAAAAGCTGGTCTTTGGGGGTGTGTGGGTGGGAACAATCTACCCCTTCTGAAATCTGTTCCCCAGCCTGTCTTTACCCTGGTGTCATCCCTACCTTCTCCCTCTCTGCCCTGGCACTGAGTCACCAAGTCATCCTGATCTTACCTCCTATAGCTCTTGAATCCCACCTACTGCAACCAGCCTCCACCCTGGGTCCCTGCTCCAGGCCACCAGGGATGTCTTTCTACTGCCCTTGTCCATATGGTCTCCTAACCCATCTCCTTGCTCCCATACCTGTCCCTGCAAACCATGTCCACCCCATCACCACTCTGATCTTTTTAAGTCAGGTCATGTCAGTCCCTCTTTGAAATCCTGATATCCCATCATGCTTACGATAAAATCCAGACTCCCTGTCATGGACTATAAGCCCCTATCCTGTCTTCCCTAGTTTCCTCTCCAACTTCATCTCCTGTTGTTTCCCCCACACACATATCACTAGCCACAATGGCCTCAGGGCTGCTTCCAGAATATATCAAACACACTCAGCTTCCCCCTCCCCCATGCTTCCATCTTCAGTGTCCTTTGCCTGGAATGCTTTTCATTAAGACATCCACATGGCTTTCTCCTGCACTTCATTCTGGTGTCTTCTCAGGCCTTGCTTGATTTTTCTTTACATACCAGCCTGACATACTATACTGAACATCTATTTGTGTGTTTTTTGTCTCTCTTCCCACTAGAATATGAGCCTTGAGATGGAGGGTTCTTTGCTTTGTACACTGTTGGATGTCCTCAGGACCTGGTGCGTGGGGTGCCCAGCAACTGCAGGAGAGATTTCTTAGAGCACAGATCTAAGCCACACACATCAGGGGCTCCCCCACTATCAGACTAAAGCCCTAACAGCCACTCAAGGCCCTCTGCTTTTCTGGCTCCTCCTGTGTCATTCCTTCCCATCAGTCCCATGCCATCCCTCTGCCTGGGAAGCCACTGACCCTTCTCACCAGGCCCAGCCATGGGCTTCCTCACAGAGCCTTCTCCTACCCCTCTGCCACTCCAAACAGCTTACCCTCACTAAGTCATCAGAAGTTAGGATGGATGAAGTGATCTAGAGTTCTGAGACCCACAGACATCCAAGTTATCAAAGGATGCTAGGGGCCACACTGCCACTTCGCCTGATGGGAGTCCTGTCTCCTAGGATTTTCTGATTGCCCAACGACTCCAGACATTTATTTTGCTGGATTACTCTACCAGGGTCTCTATAGACAGATAGTCCTTGTCCTCAAGAAGCTTACAGACAGTGGCTTAGGGGGAGGTCCCTCTGTAGCAGCCCTGCACTCCCACCCACAAACCCCTTCACTTGGTGAAAGAGAACCTCTTGGCAGCACCCTAGTTCCGGAGTCTCTGCCCTTGCTGTTCTCTTGGCTTCACTTCCTCCATTCTGCCACCCTAATTACTCCTCTGTCTTCTTGGCTGGGCTACCTAGGGCCGCCTCTGAGCTTCCCCTAGATTCCCTCACTATAGCCCTGAGCACACCACTGTCACTACTTTGTTTCTGGCCATCTCCAGTAACAGGCACAGGAGCGAAGGCTCTGCAGGGATGACTTAGCACAGTCCAGCCAAAGAGGGAAGCAGAGCAGAGGGGCTGGTGTACATGGCAGTGACCGTAAGCTTAAGTCCCTAAACCTGGAAGTTAGTGGACTCTGATGGTCAAATGCTGCAGATGAGGAATGAATGAGGCCCTGGAACTTGAGGTGCTACAACCCCCACTCCCAGGAAACAGTTCTGAGGGAAGCAAGAGAGAAGGAGACCGACCACCTCAAAGTCACACAACAAGCTGGAGATGGAACTGACTCATGCCCAGACTTCCTGACACCTGGGAGGCTGGCCCTCCCTCTGTTCCTCATAGCAGCTGTGGGGTCACCCCAGGCTGCTTCTTCCCTGTGTAGGTGAACCTAACTGCCTGCCTTCCTCCAGAGGAAGGCTTCTAGGTCACTTGAGTTCAACAAGGTTCCCTGAGGTTGTTTTTTTCATTGGGAGTGGGAAGTGATGAGGAATGAATGTCAGGCCCACAAGGGCTGGGTCTGAGAGTGCGCCTTCAACAGCAGGGTGGTCTCAGGGCAAGAGGGGCCTCCTCGGTGGGACTTAAGGAACAAGGAGAAAGCAAAGGCCTTTGAGTCACACAGAACTGTCTTCAAATCCAGGGTCTGTCACCAACAGCTGTGTGGGCCAGGAAACTCACATACCCTCTCTCGGTCTCCATGTCCCTCGTGCATCCAATGGTGATAACCTCTACTTTACAGGGTGTGGTGTGGAAGAAATGGTAAATGCTGGGCACATAGAGCTCAGTAGTAGCCTGCTCCTTCCTCCTGCTCTGCATGCCCCAAACCCAGAGAATTTCCTTCCAGCTTCGTCCCCAGGAAGGAGTACTGAAAAGGGACTTCCATGCAGAGGTGGAGAGGGATGAGAGATAGGGATTTAAGGTCATATATGTGTCACTGAGACACATATTCTATATATTTGCCGGTACCAGATTGGATGCTCTCTGATGATCTCTATGACTCTGAGTCTTGGTTCAGAATTCTGTGCTATCATTACTATATGGTAATGTCCAGTACTTATTTTACCACTTACCCTAAGGTTGTAAGTTTTCACCTGTGGTGGGCATCTATCTGCTTTCCTTTATTCTGCATTCATGGCATCTTTTTAATGCTCCTCCCAAACCAACACTTTTTATAGGGACATCACCTCATTTTTTTATGGAGAACCACCCTTCTCCTACTCTTGATTCATGAGAAGGCTTCCCACCCCTGTTTCCAGGCACTAAAATGTGATTTATGCTAGGCCTGAGAGCCTCTATTATGAGAGTACGGTTGAAACCAAACAGAAGATGTGAGGTAGGGGCAGGCAGTCCATAGCCACCCTGTCACATGGAGAGAACCTCCCTGCATAGCAAAGATGTCACAGAGCAGAGCACAGCCACAGATGGAAAATGCCAAGCTGAGATGACATAATTTGAATTCCTGGATCCAGCTGTACCTTAAATCAGATGTGCCAAGAATTTTTAGTTCTCTGAACCAAAGAGACTTTTGTGGTTTTGACCTGCAGAGTCCAATACAGTGGCTACTAAACCCATATGACTTTTTAAATTTAAATTTGAACTAATTAAATAAAATCGAAAACATCCAGTTTCCCTGTTGCACTAGCACACTGCAGGTGCTCAATGTGCCCATGTGGTTGGTGGCTGCCACAGTGGACAGTGCAGAAATAGAACATTTCTACCACAACAGAACATTCTATTTATTGGACAGCACTCACCTAGACAGTGTGAGCCATGCTTCTGTTGCTTAAGACTAAAACTCTTGCCTGACGCTTTGTAGTTCTAAACTTTATCTGTTCCTCATGGTCTTTAGTTCCTTCCAACCCTGAGGTCCTATTAGAATTTATGGTTCTATTTAAAATTCCAGCTGATTTTCAGGTTTCAGTTAAGGGTTTGGCCCTAGGTCTGGAGGCTCATGGCCAGGCTAAGTTGGCCTGGTCCCCCAATGACCCCAACACTTGGTGTCAGCCCACCTTGGACCAGGAGTTCTCCTTGCTGAGCAGGTCGGCATAGAAGTAGGCCATCTTCCACTGGCCCTTGTAGGTGAAGCACCACATCAGCTCCCAGTAGCACATGTGGTGGAACTGCTTCCAGTGCTGTTGGGCCTCACAGCACTCCTCGAACCGTTGGATGGCCTGCAGGCACCTGCTGGTCAGCCTCATGGCCCCGCCACCCCACCGCATCGCATAGAAGGCCCAGCCTCCTCCACAGGTCTAGCCGTGTGCCAGGCTCAGGGAGGGAAGGCAGGCTGCAGCATTGGGGAGATGGGAGAATTCTGGCCTCCAGTCCTGGGTTCACCCACTAATTCTCACTTCCTGCCCCTTTCTGGGACTCTAGTCTTTTCAGCACAAAATGAAAAGGATGGGATAGAGCTATAATGGAAGGATAGGAGGCGGTGGAAAGTCATTAACGTTAAAGCAGCATAATGTTTATGCCTCAGAGCAAACTCCACAGTTTCCAGTAACTCTCCTGAAAGGAACTGGACCTAGGGCATCTGTCCTGCTGCTTGAGGAATCACAGCCAGGGCCAGCTGGAGACCCCCAGACTCCACATTGTGACAGTCCATCCTGGGTATTCTGCCAGACCCGTGACCCTCCCCTCTCTAACCCCTTTGATGGCTCCTTCCCACCTATGGAGTCTCAACTCCTTAGCCAGGCCACCAAGGTGCCATCTCATACCCTGGCACCACTGTGCCATTCACAGTGCCTGTCACCATGTCCTGAATGGGCCTTCCCACCACTCTGCCTCACTCAAGGACGTCCCTCTGCAGGAAGCTGCAGTCCTACAGCTCCTTATCAGATCCCACTCACCACAAATGCCACCCCCTCTCTCATCTTCCTAGACTCTCTCATTCAGAATTGCTTCTCCTACCCTGCCGCCTTGTTGGTTCTCTCTTAGAGCCCTCCCCTAGTCGGCCCTGTCCCTGAGTATGTCTGTGTCTGTCTGCCTACTGGTCTGGGAGACTCCAAGGGGTCGCCAGCACTGGCCCAGACCCCTATTACTCACGGTGTCAACATTGCCTTTAATGGCTTCAATCCGCCCCGCAAAGAACAGGAAGATGGCACCCTGCAATGACATGCACATGTCTGTGGGTCCACATTGTGGCACACATGGGCTCGTGTTGTTCCAGCGGGAGGTGTGGGCTCACCTTAGGATATCGCTTCAGGTAGGGCTTCAGGAGCTTCTCTGCCTCCTCAATGTTGACATTCCCAGTACCTAAAGGAGATAAAGGGACAAGACACATCACCACCACTGGCTCTTGTAATCCCTCCAGCAACCCACTAGGAACTTCTCAGGGCCCCTGTTTCCCTCTCTGTAAAATGGGGATGATAATTCTACCTCCAGGGAGATATGAGGACTAAATAAGATTAGGTGTAGGCATCACCCCAGGACATCACAGGGCTCAATAACCAAGAGTCATGCCTGCCGAGGTGGTGCCCAGAAACCCAAGGGCTTGACTACAGTGTCCTCACCCTGTACAAGGTGGGAATGGCCATCCCCATTTCACAGATGAGAAAACTGAGGTTGGAACCTAGTCACATTGGGAGGAAGTGAGTGGTCAGCAGGCCAGGCCTGAAGACAGTTGATGCAGCTCTGCTGGTTCTGGTGTCAGTACCCCATCCCCAGCCCTGTGGACCCAAGGAGGGTCTGCAGTCCCTTGCCCTCTCGCCCCCTGCCCTTAGAGCCAACCAAACCCCAGATGCCCCAGCTTTCGCCCAGGGGGCACTCCTACCGAGCACAAAGGTGAGGAAGGTGTGGTAGCAGAGCAGCAGCATGACACAGAGCACGGCACGGAAGCTGTGCCCCGATGCACCCTCCTCCAGCTGCAGCAGCCCGTAGTCCTGAGGGAAGAGACCGACAGGCTGAGGCCAGCCCCAGCGTGGCGCAAGGGCCTGGAAGGTGGCTGGACAACTGTGAGAGCAGTGCTGCTGGGGGGACAGCGCTGGGCTCCCCATCTGGAACCCTGATGGCCAGCCTCCTCTCAGGGCCTCCGCAGGCTTCCTGGGAGGCAGGGGACCCTGCTGCCAAGGCCAGGGCAGAGGCTTGGGTCCAGGTGTTCCCTATTTCCGCAAGAAGCCCTTCCCAATTCCTGCCTTTGTTCACCTGCTTGCCCCCATGGTGGGCACTGAGGCCCTGAGCAGCCTTTGCTTGGGGTGGAGGAGAGGCCAGATTCCATTTTAGGCAGATAATCCTAACCACAGGCTCAGGGCACAGATGGGCCACAATGACTGCAGTCTGTTAAGGCTTCCTGGAGGAGAAGGTTCTAGAGCCTGGCTGGGGAGAAGGAGAGGCCAGACTCCACTTGTATCCCTTCCTGCAGTCTCTGCCCCCCTCCCCATCTGTTCTCCAGAGTGTTCTTGTTCTTTCTAATACACAAATCTGACCTACCTCACCCTCACCTCAAACCTTTAGGATAAGACAAAGCCAGAGCTGGTGCCTGAGGGCCCTCATACTCTGACACGGCCTCCCTCTCCTCCTGGCCAGGCAGACCACACTGTCCCGCTTCTTGGCCTTTCTCATCCTCTTCCCTCCTGTCATCGTGAAATCCTTCTCATGACCCACGGGCCTTCTTAAGAAAACAAAACTAAAAGGGACCTACAGAGCCTCTGGCTGCTGTTTACCCGGACCTGGACTATGGACTACAGATGGCAATCAAGATTTTAAAGGTCTCCAGACAGACATGAGGCACAGAGTCCCAAGTGAGGGTCTTCCTTTTCAATTCTCTGTCTTGATGAAGGCATTAGGGAGAAAGCCTCAGTCCTGCGCTGGTGTGTGTTCAACATCCTTGTCACTTTAAGAACCTCTTCCCACAGGAAAACAGCCTCTGCAGATCAATCTACTTTTACAAGATTGCTTGCCTTCACAGTATTTATAATTATGTTCTTATCATGCCAAAAATATGGGTTTTCTATGCAGTGATGTTTCATTTAGATAAACCTAAGTAAAAAATATGAACCATTTTTGGGAAGAATAATACATAAAAAATAATATAGAGGTCTGCAGACATGGCAAAAATCAGGAAAGGTCAGAGGAAGTTCCAGTTAAGAACTGGTCCCCAAAAAAAGCCCCCTTGTTACACCTCCAAAAAGGCCCAGAGGAGGGTGGGATTTTCTCTGAATCACAAGAAGGAGATGAGGCTGGAATGACCCAAGGCTCCTGATTTCCAGGCCATTGTTCCTTCTACCACATGGGGCCTCCTCCACCAGGGAGCTCTCCCTGAGCTGCTACCTGGTACTTAGATTCCTGCCCTTAGTAAAGCCTCTGGGTGCTTCAAGCCTCTGATTTCTGCCCTCAAGGCCTATAGGGCTTCCCTTAAGCATCTCCCTCACAAGAAAATGGTCCCAAAGGAAAGAACTTGCTTAAGGTTTTCCAAAGGGAGGAGGACCAGGATCTTGACATCTGTTAGTCTCAGAGAACACGACTCCAGACCACTGCATGAAGCTGCCCTTCACACCCACCCTTACCCTAGAGCCTCTTCACCCTGTGTGAGGCCAGGCAGGAATCACTGGCCCCATTTGATTGGAAAGGAAACTGAAGCTCAGAGTGGCCTGGGGCTTGTCCAGGGCCACACACTGGGGGGCAGGGGCTATGCCATTACTGGCACAGATCCTGCAGCCCCTCAGCCTCACCCTGTCCAGGTGAGCCGGTCAGGAGTCCCAGAAGGCAGGTGGTTACCTTGTTTCCTGAAAACCCCACAAACTCCAGCAGCCGCAGGATCCTGGTAGGAAGCATGGACAGCGTCTGCAGGAACAGAGGCAGGTGGGCCGGTGGAGGGGCTGGAACTGTCCCTCCTACCCCTAAGCCCCCAGAGTCCTGGGGGTAACCCTGTGGGAGCAGGACTTCTCTCCAGAATACCCACAAGAAGGCCCCAGGTTTCCTGGAAAGCCAACTTCCCCAGATAGAGAAGCACTACAGTGTGACAATTAGAAACAGACTGTCTAAATCCTAATCTCACCATGCCCACTGGGTCACCCTGGGCAAGCTATGTATCCTCTCTATGTCTCAGTTTCCTCATCTGGAAATAATTATGCCCCTACCTCCAAAGGGTCCTGTAAAGGTGAATCAAATTAATATATGTAAAGCACATAATGGAGCACATGATGATAGTTAGCTGCTACTGTTACACAGAAACCCTTGGCACCAGGGGCTCCATCATTGCATTTGATCCTCAGAACAGTCCTGCAAAGAAAGATTACTGTCCCTTTTGACGGATGCAAAAACAGAGGCATGGATAAGGGACAGGACATGTCTAAGGCCCCACATCTCATCAGAAGAGGAGCTAGTTCTTAAACCCAGAACAGTCCAGCTGTAACTTGCTAAAGTATCCAGTGAACTCTGCCATTTGTACTTCTCAGCACTTGGGCCAGGATTACTGTTCTCATTTTACAGACAAGGAAACTGGAACCCAGAGTCAGGCAGGGACATCCCCACCCTAAGGCCTACTTTTGGTACAGGCTTTGCCTACAGGGGAGAGAAACATCCCCTGCCACATGCACTTCTGGACAGGTCTCTGGACCTCCTCAATGAGGAGCTCCTCCTCCCAGGAGTAGGCTCAGAGCCTCTCTCACTGTTCCTTCTGCCTAGGATGCCCTTCCCCACCTATAGATCCTTCAAGATCCAGCTCAAATACTCCCCACTCCCTGAAACCTTCCATAGCTCTTCCAGGTAGGGGGTCTGGGCTCTGTTACTGTGGGTTGCCCACTGCTTCCAGGCCTGTCTCCCTCCTTACTACTGGTCAGTGTTTAACCATCAGCTCTCCGGGCCCTGATTTATTGGGTTTTGTCTTTTTCTGGTCCTATAAATACTACCACCATGGTGCATTTGAAGCTTTCAACTGACTTGGGAAGAAATGCACAGAGAGACTCTGGAGCATCCCCACCCCACCCCCCACCCCAGCTCTGAGCTCCCCATGACATTGGCAATGTCTCTGTTTTATCACCAGGTCCCAGGGTCAGCTCAGGGCTCGGCACAGTAAGCCAGCAAAAACCATGTGCAGGGCCATTCCCACTCACCAGGTTGAAGGCTCCCACGCCAAGCTTCACCCCTCCTTCAAAGTGCCTGTGGTTCTCTCCCTTACAGTACTGTGAGGACTGCACAAGGCTGTCCAGCTCCCTGTGGGAGATATGCAAAGACCTTTTTCAGCCACACAGCAGAGGCTAGGTCCCATTCCAGCTGGGACTAAGGCTGCCCCCCACCCCCACTCCCAGCTGATTTCAGAACTCCCTGATGGTAGACTGATAACAGTTCTGGCAATCCAGAGAGCTGATATTCGAGGAATTTCTAACCCCATCTGCCTATTAATATAGTCCTTGCCCCTGAATGTCAGCTTTATCAGCCCCAGCACACCTGCTCGTCCAGCACCTAGGCATTGCATGTGCTCCACATTCTGTCTAGAACAGTTTCTCAACTTTGGCATTACTGACGTTTTAGGCTGGATAAATTCTTTAGGTAAGGAGGGGTTCGTCTGTATAGTGTAGGATGTTTGGCAACATCCTTAGCCTCCACCCACTAGATGCCAGATGCAACCTCCCCCCAGGTTGTCACAACCAAAATGTCTCTGAATATTGCCAAATGTCCCAGTGAAGAGCCACTGGGCTAACTATAACACCCACTCCTTCAGGAAGTCTACCTGGGGTCTCTTGGTTGAAATCCAACCCTCTTTTTCCTCGTCATCAGTTGCACAGAGTCCATATCCCATCTCACCTTGGGCAGGACAGAAACTTTAAAGATGTGCCTACCTCCTTACTATGCCATGAGAATCTTGAAGGCTTTCAATGGGCAAGCACTGACTGAGGCCTCCCTGTGCCAGGCACTGGACAATAGCTAGAAGCAAAGCCACCAAGTGGCTGTCCTCACAATTCTCCCACTCTAGGGAAAAGATCCACCCCCCCATCAAGTCACTGTGAGGGTGGAGGGGGGTTCCAAAGGAGAAGACTCTTGGGGTCTGACCCAGTTTGGGGTTCAGGGAAGGTTTCTCTGAGAAGCTGACACTTCAGCTGAAACCCTAGGAATGGGGAGGGTTAGCTGGGCACAGAAAGAGTGTTCCTAGCAGAGAGATAGCATGTCCAAAAGCCCTGAGTAGGAATGAGCTTGGCATGTCTGAAGAACTGAGGGAAGGCAAAAATGTTTGAGGCAGAGTGGGGTGGAAGCTGTTGCTAGGAGGGCTAGGAGCTCCCAGGAATGACTCAGCGATGACCAGGGACTTTATTCTAAGAGCAAGAGGAGTGTCAGGAATTGGTAAGAGGGTGACCTGACAAGGTTCGTACTTTGGAAACATCACTTTGGCAGCTGGTGAAGAGACTGGAGGGGGCAGAGCACAATTCCAGCAGACCCTCAAGGCCATGCAGTGCCCATATACTACATGGTGTTATATACCAACGGTACCCTGAAATCACACTCACAGTCTCTCTCCAGGGAAACAGTCACATTAGATGGGGAAAATAAAGATGATCAACAGTCTCAAGTCAATTCAACTTTTAATGGAAAGTGAGTTTTGATGCAAAACTTGGGGGGAAGAAACTGGGATTTTGAAGCTTTTTCAAAAATTTTAGAATTGGAGGTAAGAATTGTGGTGTCATGTTGAATAGAAATGTCTGGACTGAGTCTTATTCTTTCATCCCTAGACAAAGCCTGTGCTTGCCCAGGTGCTGATATGGCATGGAAATGATCTGGCCCTCAGGGAGCTCCCAGCTTGGAGAGGCTGTGAGTGTGTGTGGACACCATCCCTGTGTACTAGAGGAGTCCAAGGAAGGCTTCATGGGGAAAGTGGCATTTGGATTGGGCCTTAGCAGAAACAGAGGGGCTCTGGGGCTGTTCTCAAAACTACTGGCCCTGTGTCTATCTCCGACCCTCTACCTCACCAAGCTGTTTGTGCAGAACCTGTCTTTATTTTCCCCAGGATCAGGTGTAGACTCAGAGGAACCAATTGAACAGATATACCCAAGAAACCATGCGAATATTCTGGAAAACTGAGGTCCAAATGGTGCAGAGATCTGCCTGAGGTCATGTGGCATTCTAGGCGTCCAGCCTCTAGCCAGTGCTGTCTCCCACAAAGCAGCCTGAGGGGCACAGGGTAGTAGATACTGTGGACCCAGGGTCCCCTAGACCAGACCCACTTACTTATAGGTTTGGTAGCTGTTTCGAACTTTGATGCCGCCCTTGATGAAGCTCACCATGTTCTCGTCCTGCAGGAGGGAGAGAAATTAATAGCAAGCCCGGGTGGGTAGCCACAGGCTTGAGAGGGATCATACAAGGCTCTGGGCCTGGCTTGCCTGACCTTGGGCCCAGCTCTATGAGGAGTTCTGGGGGGAATAGGGTTAGGGGTTAGCCAATCCAGACCTCCCTAACCCCTGGGTCTTGGGATGAGGATTTGTTTGCCAAACAAGACCTCCAAAATGTCCAGGGTCTGGAGAAGGCACTCCTGGTGGTTACCAGTGCCTCCTCTGGGTAGAGGAGCTGTGGGAGAACAAAAATGATGCTCGGTTTTGGACTGTTTGTGTTTTCCACAACAAGCAGCTCCTTGTCACATTTGTAATTTAAAGCACCGATACCTACAGCCCATTTTAGTTCCACTCCTGGGGATGTGCCCAAGAGAAACAAACAGACATGGGCTGTGGGAGTTACCTTCAAGAACGTTCACTGCCCTACTCTTCACAGCATCCAGGAAAGCATCCGAGAACAAAAAACAACCCCAATGCCCTTCAGCAGGAGACTGGATAAACAGTTATACCCATAGAAGGGAATATTATAAGGGCACCTGGGTGGCTCAGTTGGTTAAGCATCCGACTTCGGCTCAGGTCATGATCTCACGGTTTGTGGGTTTGAGCCCCACGTAAGGCTCTATGCTGACAGCCAGCTCAGAGCCTAGAGCCTGTTTCGGATTCTGTGTGTCTCTCTCTCTCTGACCCTCCCCTGCTCATGCTGTCTCTCTCTCTCAGAAATGAAACATTTAAAAAATTTTTAAAAAGAAGGGAATATTATACAACCACATAAGATTGGGTAAAGAAAGCAAGTCTCACACAGCTTGAGGCCTTAAGAAGCTTGAAGGTATGCTGCTCAGACATGAAATAGAAATCTGAGAAAACTATTTTTTTAAAAATACGTTGGAGGATAAAAAACAAAACTGTAGCTGGTGGTTTCCCCACAAAGGGAAGCAGGGGACAGGGCAGGGAGGAGACTAGCCAAGAGTGTTCTATTCTCTGGTTGGGGAGGGGAGCTCTTGGGTGTTTATTATGTGTAATAATAGAATAAAAAGGCTACACACAACGCAATTATTAACAGTGGTCCTAATGAAGAATTAGAATTATCTAATTCTAATTATGTGAGGTACAAAAAGGTAGAACAGCTAACAAAAATAAATAGTACCCCAATAAAATTCTCATGTGTCTGTCTACCCCAACACACATATCTATGCATGATGATTATATGCTATAACCCAGGTTTTATGGTGAAATCATGAGGTGATGGTTCTCATAATAACGACTGTGTGGTGAGGAGCACTGGCTCCAAGTTGACCAGACCTGTGTTCAAATCCCAGCTCTGCCATTTGCTAATCATGTCTCTGTGAAAGGTGGCTCCTCCCCTCTAGTCCTCCCTTTTACAAGCCTGTGAGGTGAAGATTTAATAATATATGTACATTTATGTAAAAACAAACATGCAATGTGTGTAAGGTATGTAAAAACTACATACCTGTAATGTACACACACAGCCTGGTATGTCACAGAATCAGGTTTGGTTCATTCAAACTTGTTTGTTGAATTAGAATTGAGTACAAAGCAGGCTTTGTGCTAATGCCAGTCACCCCCATGTGAACCTCAGCAGGAAAACAGCAGTCATGAGGTGGAAGCATATCCTAGTAGTGGATGGAAACATGTGTGCTGTGTGTGGAGGGGAAACCCCATCACCTCTGCCACTGAACCTGGCTAGGGCTGGGAGTGTTGGGGTGACTGAGCCTCAGTCTTCTCCTGAACCATAAGGAGGCAGACTGTGGCTGCTTATAGACCCTCTGGCTTGAAGTTGGTGACTGATCTTCTGAAATCCCCAGGCTGCTTGTACTAGGAGAGGGTTCCTACCTGCAGGAAGGTCAGAGCTGCTCTCTGCAGCAGGCACTCTGCATAGCAGACTTCAGCATGGATTTCCTCTGTGGGGAGAAAACCAGCCCTGAGGCTTCCTGGGACTCTTGACCGGCGGCACAGGCCAAATCCTCCCCACTCCACCTCCCAAAAAGCACAGTGAGTCTGAGTCAGCACTCTCCCCCTCCCCCCTGGGGGGGAGGTGGTCTGGATCCTTCACAGCACTCACCACTGTCCAGAACTGGCTCACTCCCCACACCTGCCTTCCACCTCGTCCCCTATCCTGCCATCCAGAATGTCAACACAGGGCCCTAGGCCTGTTCTCTGGTTCTCCACACAGCACAGTGCCAGGCAAGGAGAACGTGCTGGGTTGAATGGATAAACAAAGAAGATCCTGATCCAGGGAAGCCCACAGGCTGTAGGAGTATGGGAACATATGGGAAGGAGAACTCACACAGCCCAGGGAGTCAGAGGAGACTTCCAGAAGAAAGGTCATTTGAATTGAAAAGGAATAGAAAGGTGAGGCAAGAAGAGCTTTCTAGGCAGAGGCCTGGGAGAACCAAAAAACTCTGATGTTTGGGGACAGCCAACCCACAGAAGATCGAAATGGGGTGAGGTAGGGAGACTTAGGGGACAGGTAAAGATGAGGGGCAGAGCTGACTGAAAAGGGCCTTGAATACAAGCTGGAGGAGAGCCAATTTGGCCCTGTGGGCATCAGAGAGCTACGGAAGGCGAGGAGGAGGAGCGGCGTTGTCAGATTCACTGTCTTGTGTTAGAAACTTAAAGGCTCTTAAGGATGGAGAGGGCCATTTACTCTTGCGCTGAAGAGCCCCGCATTGCTCCAGCTGCCTGCTGCTACCTCCAGGACTGCCACGTGGGGTCCCAGCACGTAGTCTCTGGCAGCCTAGACCATCTCTTACACTGCCTTCAGCTGTCTCATCCCAGTGTGCCAGCCTCCAAAACCTTATTTCCCTCTAGGATACGTGCGATCACTATGATAATCAGGCCAGTAAACCTAACCTGCACATAATTCTAGGCCCACCCTGGCCCGAGAAGCAAAGCTAATGAACCTTGTGATCGCATTTTCATTCCTCGGCTTCCAGGTCCTCAGCATGTAATGCCATCAGGTAAGTGAGCCTTCCCTGCTCACCTGAGAACAACTTCTCAAAAGGGCCCAGTCCTCTCTGTTAAACTGGGAGATTAACTGCCCTTTTCCCCACCCATCCCTGGGCCTGGGACAGGGCTGCCTGGGGCCAGCTGGGTTGAGAGGACATTCAGATGCCACACCTTCTGTGAATTGGTCCATAGTGGGGCGGTGCACCAGGTTGCTAAAGGAATCTGTTACAGAGGACTTCTTCCGGTGCCTGAAGAGGAAAAAGCGGCCTCAGGTCATTCACTGAGAGTGAGCCAGGGGCCCAGGTGGGCTCAGACGCATCTCCCGCCCTTCCCATGGGACTCCACACACACACACACACACACACACACACACACACACACACACACACACACACCCACCCACCCACCCACCCACCCAACTGGCAACTCTCCCAAGTCCAGGCTTTCTCACGCCCTTGCTTCTGTTGTTACCACTACATGGAGCCCCCTCCCCTCCTTTCTCTGCCCCGGCCAGTTTCCAGTCACCCTTAAGGAACCAGCTCCAGCATCACCTCCTCCAGAAAACCTTTCCTGCTCCTCTGGCAAGAACCCCTCAGCCCCTGGAGCTTCCCTGCTTCCTGCTGGAGTGTCACTATCTGCGCCTTCTCCTTGACCAGGCAGTTCAGGGGTCAGAGGTGGCCAGTGCCCACCCAGCACAGGGCCTGGCCCAGGTCAAGCATGTGTGTGTGCCCAGTGAAAGACGATTCCAGCTGTGCACGAACACTGAAGGTCCATTCCCTTCTTCATTCACTCAAGCAGTTTATGTGTACTGGATACCAAATATGCACCAGGCCCTGTGGCCATGTTTTCATTCGATCCCCACAACAGCCCTACCTTCATACCTATTTTACATATGAAAAAGTTGAGTCCAGAGAGAGACTTGCCCAAGATCAGTTATTACATGACAGAGCCAGAATTTATCTCCTTAAAATCAGGCCTGACCCCTGGAAGCTGCTTAGAGATTGGCTCAGACCACAAGACTCCTGAGGCAGAGCTGACAGGGACAGCTCTTAGTACTTGGGGACTCATCCTCTTAGCCAAAAGGAGCAGCATTACTAGTGGCATTTAGGCACTGGGATAGGCCAAGGTGACAGAAGGATGGACCTCATGACCCCTCATTCCTGCCCCCCCCTCCCCCCTTGGCCCGGACCTCTGACACAGCGTCTGCGCCTCCTTCATCATGTTGCCAGCAAGCAGGATGTCCTGAGGGTCAAAAGTCATCATGGCCTGCATCTCCAGGATGGTTGCATATGTCAGCGAGTGGTACATGCTCTCCTTGGTTCTGCCGGAGAGAAGGGACATGAGAGCACCAACCCCCAGAACTCCAGAGGTAGCTGGCCTGTGCAGACCACCACCATAAACTCCCCACCCAGCATGGCAGGGAAACAGAGATCCAGAGAGGGGAAGAGACTCTCCCAAGGTCTGACTCTTCCATTGCTGCTCAAAAGGCCTCAGATCGCAGCTCCTTTCCTTCCTGCTGAGTGACACCAAGTGACTTTCCAACTCTGAGCCTCAGTTTCTCATCCATTCTGCAGGAATGGCAGCAGCCAAGAAATGTTGTGAGGACTTTAGCAACAGGTTGGCCTGAGACTGTACCCCCAGTGCCCAGGGACTGCCACTCACCTTCCGCCACACCTCCCAGAGCAGAGCCCGAGTCCCTTCTATCCTCAAGCTACCCTTCCCCACCCTGCCCCCTGGGCTTGCCGTATCCTTGTTCCCTGGGCCTCACCGGCCTCACTCCCTCTTGCCTCTCCCCACCCCGTCATCTGGCCATGCTGCTTTCTGGTTAAGGTCTCCCATGGTTTTCATGTCCCATGACGTAATGCCTGGGCCCAAGGCTCCACACAACACAGGTTCTGCCCACCTCTCCAGCCCAGCCCTCTTGTCACTTCTGCTTCTGCCCCATGATCTGGTCACATTCAAGACAGCGCCCCTCATCACAATGAGCCACACATACTCTCAGGAAATTCCCTCTCCCCCTCCTCTCTACCTTTGCCCAGGATGTTCCCTCAGCTTAACATGCCTTTTCCCTACCCCTTCCCTCCCTGACTCATCTGTCAAGGCCCTCAACTGCCTCCAAGGCCACTGGGCATCCAAGGCTCCCTCTTCGGGGACCATGTGTCTATACCGAGGCACAGGTCATACTGAATTTATATCAGCAGAGGTTTAGCTCTCTCCTCAGACTGGAGAGTGGGCTCAAGGACAGAGCTTGTACGGAACTCATCTCTGTCCCCAGCACCAGCACCACAGGACCTCGTGAGCAGCCTCAGGATTCCTCCTGCCATCTTGCTTCTTCACAGGCCAGACCTCTCAATGGAAAAGCATCTGGTGGGGGCTTTTAGTCTAACACATGGAAAGAAAAGCAGGCAGGGAGGGATGAGAAAAATGCCAGTCCCCCTCTGCACTTGGGGAAGTTACAAAGTGTCTCAGCTTTGATTTATACTTCTGCAAATGGGGACAATAATGGCAGCTTGCCCAGGTCCCTGTGGGAATGGCTGGGGATCACTCTTGGTTGTCACACAGAAGGGGCTACAGCGGTTTTCACTCCCTTCCCTACACACCTCCTCATCAATTATTTACCAAACTCCTCAGTGCCAGGCTTATGCTGGGAACTTTAGGGGAGATGACTTTCTATTGTAAAATCACATGATTTCACCCATTTTCATGTCTTTATCATTCATAAAACTGTAAAATTAAAAACCCTTTGTAAATTAAGTGCTTTTTAACTTCCGGGTGACCCTTCCACCCAGGTAATATTGTCCTGGGGAGCCAAAGGTTTTTAAAGAAAACCAAAGACTGGCCCACCCCTCACCAACTCTGGCAGCTATCCCAGGTCTTTGCTAGAACCCCCTAATCTGAAGGCAGTGGCTTGTGCAAAAGAGGACACAACCTGAAGTGGGGACAGAACTCAGGCTTCAGAGTCCCTGAGACACAGGCTGGGATCTTGGCTTTGCCAGTTATCAGCTGTGTGATCCTGGTGAATTTTGTAAACTCTCTGAGCCTCAAGTTTCTCCTCTACAAAATGGATACAATAATCCTTCTCTCCCAGGACTTTGGGTGGCTTAAATAGGACACCCAGGCCAGGGCCACATCACTGATGCTCAATAAATGTGAGTACTTCTATGTCTGCCAGGGTAAAGGGTCACTGCCCTAGATAGAAACTCTCTGGCTCAGGAAAGGCTTCCTGGCAGTACCCAGACCCACCCCTCCAGATAATCCCCTCCCACCCCAGGCCTCTTGAGTTCTCAAGCTCCTGCCCTTCTCTTCCTCTCTCCACATCAATGAGGCCCAGGACTTAGGCCTAAGCACCCAGTCTAGTTCTGGGCCCAGAAGGAGGGGCAGCCCCACCTGGATAGCTGGCAAGCAAAGTGGAATTTCTAGTCTGAGGCCCAGTGCCCAATATGCACCTGAAGCTAGGAATCCTGGCTCCTCCCCAGCTCACTACTGGAAGGTCCTCAACTGTTTTCTGGACCAGGACCTGTGGTACAGGCACACATTGGAGACACTGCAGGTTCAGTTCCAGACCACTGCAATGGAGTGACTATTGCAATGAAGCAAGTCAAATGAACTTTTTTGTTTCCCTGTGCACATAAAAGCTTAGTTAGGTCTACAACAGCATTATGTCCAAAAGTGTGCAACAGCATTATGTCTAAAATATAGAACTTAATTAAAAAATACTTTATTGCTGGGGCATATGGGTGGCTCAGTCATGATCTCACAGTTCATGAGTTCGAGCCCCATGTCGGGCTCTCTGCTGTCAGCACAAAGCCTGCTTCAGATCTTCTCTTCCCCTTCTCTCTCTCTGCCCCTTCCCTACTCACTCTCTCTCTTTTTTTAATGTTTTATTTATTTCTGAGTGAGAGAGAGAGAGGCAGCGTGAGCAGGGGAGGGTCAGAGAGAGAGGGAGACAAAGAATCAGAAGCAGCCTCCAGGCTCTGAGCTAGCCGTCAGCACAGAGCCCGACAAGGGGCTCAAACCCACGAACCGTGAGATCATGACCTGAGCCAACGTCGGATGCTTAACCGACTGAGCCACCCAGGTGCCCACGCCACCCACTCTCTCAAAAAAAAAAAAAAATTAAAAAATACTTTACTGCTAAAAACATGCTAATCATTATTGTCATTTCATTGAGCTGTAATATTTTTGCTGGTGAAGGATCCTGCCCTGATGTCCATAGCTTCTGACTGATGAGGGTGGTGGTTGCAGAAGGATGTGTTGGCTGTGGCAATTTCTTAAAATAAGACACAGGGAGCCTGGGTGGCTCAGTCAGTTAAGCGTCTGACTTCAGCTCAGGTCATGATCTCATGGTTCATGGGTTTAATCTCTGCATTGGGCTCTGTGCTGACATCTCAGAGCCTGGAGCCTGCTTCAGATTCTGTGTCTCCCTCTCTCTGCCCCTCACCCGCTCACATTCTCTCTCTCTCAAAAAAATAAAACATCAAAAAAAAAAAAAAAAAAGACAACAATGAAGTTTTGCTGCACTGATGGACTCTTGATTTCACAATTTCTCTGTAGCATGCGATGCTATTTGACAGCATTTTACCCACAGCAAACTTCTTTCAAAATTGGAGTCAATCTTCTCAAATCCTGCTGCTGTTTTATCAACTAAGTTTATGTAATATTCTAAATCCTTTGTTGTAATTTCAACAGTCTTTACCAAGAATAGATTCCATCTCAAGAAATAAAGATCTTTGCTCATCCACAAGATGCAACTCCTCTTCCGTTCACGTTTTATCATGAGATTGCAGCAACTCAGTCACATCTTTGGGCTCCACTTTTAATTCTAGTTCTCTTGCTCTTTCTACCACATCTGCAGTTACTTCCTCTACTCAAGTCTTGAACCCCCTCAAAGTCATCCACAAGGGTTGGAATCAACTACTTCCAAACTTCTGCTCATGTTGAGATTTTGGCCTCTCCCATGAATCACAAAATTCTTAATGGCAGCTAGCATGGTGAATCCTTCCTAGAGGTTTTCAACTTACTTTGCCAAGATCAATCAGAGGAATCACTACCTATGGCAGCTATAGCCTTATGAAATAGATTTCTTATGTGGTAAGATCTGAAAGTTGAAATGACTCCTTGAACCATGGGCCACAGAATAGATATTGAGTTAGCAGGCATGAAAACAATATTAATTTCATTGTACACCTCCCATCAGAACTCTTGCGTGATGAGGTGCATTGTAAATGATGGGGTTGAAATATTTAGTAAACTAGGTTGGAAACAGACATACTGTCATCTAGGCTCTGCTCTTTAAAAAGCATAGGAAGACTAGATTTAGCATAATTCCTAAGCACCCTAGGATTTTCAGAATGGTAAAGGAGCACTAGCTTCAACTTAAAAGTCACCAGCTGCATTAGGCCCTTACAAGAGTCAGCCTGTCCTTTGAAGCCAGGTGCTGACATCTCCTCTCTAGCTATGAAAGTCCCAGATGGCATCTTCTTCCATTGTAAGGCTGTTCCATCTACATTGAAAATCTGTTTAGTGTAGCCACCTTCATTAATGATCTCAGCTAGAGCTCCCAGATGACCTGCTGCAGCTTCTACATCTTGCTGCTTCACCTTGCACTTTCAGGTCATGTAGATGGCTTCTTTCCTTAAATCTCACAAACCCACCTCTGCTAGCTTCCAGCTTTTCTTCTGCAGCTTCCTCACATCTCTCAGCCTTCACATGCAGAACTGAAGAGAGTTAGGGCTTTACTTTGGGTTAGGTTTTGGCTTATGGGAATATTGTGGCTGATCTGATCTTCTATTCAGACCACTCAGACTTTTTCCATATCAGCAATAAGGCTGTTTCACTTTCTTATTATTCTGTATATTCCCTAAAGAGCACTTTTAATTTCCTTCACGAACTTTTCCTTTACTTTCATAACTTGGCAGTTTGGTGCAAGAGGCCTAGCTTTTGATCTGTTTTGGCTTTCAACATGTCTTCCTCACTAAGCCTAGTCATTTCTAGCTTTTGATTTAAAGTAGGACATGCAACTCTTCCTCTAACTTGAACACTCAGAGGCCATTTTAGGATTATTAACTGGCCTAATTTCAATGTGGTATGCCTGTACATAGGTAGGACAACTCCCCAAACCTCAGACACCCCAAGTTTAGTTTACAATCCAAAGTTCTTGTTTGCTTACAAAATCCTGAGCCTTGAGAGTAAGAGTCCCTTACCTCTGAGCTAAACCCAGATCTGGGACATGATGTCCATGTGGGTCCCACCTGCTAGTCCCAGACCAGCTGTCAAACTGGGGAGGGCACTGGAAGAGCCATCAGAAGAGCAGGGTGTTAGGACCTGGGACTCCCTGGCCATGTGGAGGTCAGCTAAGCCTCGGGGCCACCCGCTCATCTCTCCTCTACCAACAGCAAAGTAAAATAAAGCTACTCAAAGAAGTGACAAACACAGAAAACAAATGTCCAGGCTGGGGTTCTGGCGGAGGTGAGGATGGAGCTTGATGAGCCCATTACTCTCTGAAGGCAAAGTATGAATAAAAATTAAGTGAGACACTGCATGCACAGTGAGGAACAGTCCAGTCAAAAACTGGACTCCAACATTTTTTGAAGCTTCAATGGCTATATATGGAGAGGCTATTTTTTTTTTTTAGCAAGAATTATTTCCCCTAGGGTCGCCTGGGTGGCTCAGTTGGTTGTGTCCAACTCTTGGTTTTGGCTCAGGTCATGATCTCATGTTTCATGAGTTTGAGCCCCACATTGGGCTCTGTACTGACAGTGGGGAACCTACTTGGGATTCTCTCCCTCTGTCTCCTCCCCTCCCCTGCTCACTCTCTCTCAAAATAAATAAATAAATTTAAAAAAAAGAATTATTTCCCCTACATCAGTGGTTCTTAATAAAGATGGGGAAATATCTTTCCTGTTCTTCCACCCCAACCCTCCCTCCCAATCTCTAGTATCTGCCAATTTCTCAAAACATGTTTTGGTTGTCACAAGGTGGGTGTGGGTGAGAAGTGTGTTAATAACATCTACTGTTTGGGGAAAACACTCTTAAACTGAAAAAGAAAGGAAAGATTCTTTTCTGGAAGGGAACAAGGGCTAAGATAAAGAGCGGCTTCACTGCCTTAAGTGTGAAGTTAAAAGATACCCTCGTGGAAAGACTGGTTTTCTCCACGGTGCCTCCTTCGAGGCAAGCATTTCCTCTCCGAGGCTTGAGCTGTGGGGCCTGAGGGTAGGACTCCTGAGGTGAAGGAATGAATGCCCTACTGAGGTGTAAGGAGGATGAGGCAGCCCCTCAACATGCAGTGGGCTGTAGGGAGAGGGTGTGGAACTTAAGGGGAGAGGCTGGCAAGGAAGGTGGCAGGGAGGAGCCCGCTCAGGGTCAAGTGATGACCAGAAGGGAAGTGGCGCTGGGAGTCTTCCAAAAAAACTGGGAGGGCAACCTAGATGTTCAGAGATGGAGCAGGACGGAGCTTGGCCTGCCTCAGACGGTGGCCACACTCTTGTTACAGACCCAACCCTGCCCCACCTCAAGCCCAGATCTCCTCAGAGCGGGGTGATGAGGTGTGGGGACTAATGCTGAGGGATCATTATAAGAATCATGATCATCACATGCTGGAATTCCCAACACCCCCAGAAAATTGGCCATGAGTTCCAGACAGGACAACAACGGGTCAATCAAGTCTACAGAAACTGAACAGGTGAGGCTTGGGACTCAGGGAAAGCAGTTCCCCTGCATCACATTTGCCTTCCCTGGGAACCTGAGGGAACCAGATGTGGCAGAGGACAACCATAACCTAGAGCTGAAAAGAAGGCAGCCAGGGGTACTCTGACCAGGCAGAGGAACAGCTTCTCTGGAGAAGCTGACATCTGGGGCCAGGTCATCCAAAAACCAGTCTCAGCAATTACCAGGCCAAGGAGCCACATGCTTCCTTTCTGGTTATTACCTGTCCCTCAGTAGGCTCCCCCATGCCACCTTCCTTGCCCACCTTCCCAACATCCAAAAGCCAATCCCACCAATTACAAGGCCAAGAACTGGCTCTTAAATATGACCAGACAGTCAAGGACCATCAGGCATTTGAGGAAAACCCCCACTAGAAGATTCCTCCACTACATAGAAAAAGGGAACCTGGAAAAAGTGGAGATTATACAGGAAAATAATAAAACATTTAAAAGGGAAACAATATTCTCTGATAAAAATAACAACAAATACTTACTAGAGTGCTTACTCTAGAGCGCCAGGCCCTGTCCTAAGGACTCCCATATTCCAAATATAGATATAAAGAACAAAGTGCACTCAGAAACCAAAATACGATGTTTTAGGGGAAAAAAGAACATTCAGAAAACAATGAGTCTGAAGAAATTAATCTTCTGATCTCAGAAAAAAAAGAAAATAGAAGGATCTCTTCTAACTCAATAGAAGGACTTAATGATAAGGTTGAAGAAGTCTCCCCCCAAATAAGAGAAAACTAAAAGAGAAAGAAATGCAAAATTGAGCAGAAGATAGAAGGCTTAGAAGAGGACTAGCCCAGGAAGCCCAATGTTTGACTTAAAGCAAGCCGGAGAAAGGGAGACAGAACATGGAGGGGTCGTGTTAGAGAATGTCCTAGAACTGAAACACAGTCTCCAAATTAAAAAATACCAAATACCTACATTTCAGCACATCATTGTGAAATTTCAGATTTGCAAGAACAAAAGAGAAGATTCTAAACATTTCTGAGGAAGGAAAAATGATCACATGCAAAGTTAGAAAAAATTAGGGTTCCTGTGGCTACTGTAGATGCTAGAAAACAGGGATGCATTGTGTTCAAAATTCTGAGGGGGGCGGAAATTATATTCATGCAATTCCTTCCTAGGAAGTTTCTAGAGGACATGCTCTGGTAAAATGAGGGAGGGTACCAGAGAAAAAGCCAGGTCAAAGAAACAAGAGAGAAGTAAAGGAAGTTCTAGGAGATGGCTGTAGGTGGCCAGTAGACATGACCTCCAGGGGACAGGTTTCTAGGAAAAAGGTTACGAAGAGGTCAGCATAAATGTATAGCAAATTAGGCCAATGAAAAGAGAAGGCAGGGGTACCTGGCTGTCTCAGCCAGTGGAGCATGTGACTCTTGATCTCGTGGTTGAGTTCAAGCCCCATGTGGGGTATAGAGATTACTTAAAAATAAGAAATCTTAAAAAAGACAAGACAATTAACTTCAAAAATGAAATGAAATCTTACAATATATGATTCATCTCTGCAATGATCATTAGTTACCTAATTATAACAACGTAAATATTATAAATTTGGCCAGACACTGTAATATAATAGTGAGAAAAAGGATGAGGGGAGGTAGGGCAGGGGTATAAGAAAGCTAAATTCTTGTCTACCGATTGATGTTTAAAAGTAAAAAGTTTCAAAAAGAAAAGAAACAAAATGTATGGTGTATAAATTTATGGTGTATCAGTTCTTAATGTTTTTTAAAAAATAATAAACAAAGAGCAGTATAAGCATATTATTTAGAAATAAGGCAGCAAACACTAGAAGAAATGGCTAAATGACTAGCCAACATTATTATAGTAAAGGGCTTGAGTAAAAGCAACTCAAATCTTTAGTCCTCTGGGAAAAAATGAAGAAAAGCGACTGTGTTACAGCTGGCAGGGGAGAAAATCAAAGTGGAAGAGGCCGTAAGAACCCAAAAGAAAAGAAAGGAAGGCATAGTGACCTTAGGGAGGTCCTGGCTGCTCAGAGCTGTAGGCTGGGGAGCCCAAACCCCTATTTTTATGGGACTCTCAGGGATCATGGTGACCCAGAAGGCTGAAGGGATTCAGTTACATGGGGTTCCTCTTACATAAGACCTATAGTTCTCCATGAGCAGACATACATGTGGCCTCAAGCCCCTCAACCCCAAGGGTATAGAGATTATTTAAAAATAAGAAATCTTATTTTGCACACACACATCCCCATCCCCACCACCACCCTGGGCTTAAGCCTCACCTGGGCTTGAGGTAGCTGAGTGCTTCTGAGAACTGGTTGGTGAGAAAGAGGTCCAGGGCGGTCATGCACTGGTCCAGGGCCTCATGGAGGCTGCTCACAGAAGTCCTGCTGGGAGAGACGGGGAAGTAACCAGGAGCCCTCAACCCCTGTCCAGGCTAGAACAAAGCCCCACAGGGTCCATGCAACCTCTCTGTGGGCCTTGGATGCCTGTCACAAGCTCCTCCAGGCTACCCACTCTGTACTAGGACACAAAGACAATTTGGACATACCTCTAAGTGTTCCTAAAAGTGGGAGGAGAGAAGAATGGGGGTATCATCTAAGATCTGGTAGAGGGGACTGGGGAGGAGCAGAGGATGGAGGGCAAAAGAAGCCCTGGAAACAAATTTATCTTACCCCTCACAAGGGTAAAAGGAGTCTTTATGGCCTTTCTGACCCATCAGGCTTTTCTGCTCCCCCCCGCCCGGGGGGGTACAGCCCACCCACTGGATCCCACTTCAGTCCTTTTCCTCCCCCTTCCTCCTCCAGGACTTCTCCTGCCCATCTTGAGCCTGCACTCTAGAATCCCAGAGACACTGTCACAATGGGCTGTGGTGTGCAGGCCTCTCAAAGGTCACCTTCCGTGTACCTGACCCTCTTCCAGCCCTTACATTTCTCTACAGCTTTTATCACTCTCTGACATACACATATATTTCTTTCTTTTTTTTTTTTTTAATTTTATTTTGTCTCCTTCCACTAAAAATAAGGACTTCTGAGGGCAGGAATTCTTCTTTTGTTCACTGCTGTATCCCCAGCATCTAGCATCTGGGACAAGGTGGGATTTTGATAAATATCTATTAAGTGAATGAAAATTGACTGAATGAAGAGTCTCAGGCTAGAACAACAAATCCCTGAACTTTCTGGGTCTCAGCTTTCCCAACTGAAAAATGAGAGATTAAACTATGAGATCCCCAAAGTCCTATCTTGAGGATGTCTCTTCTCAAGGAGTCTCTTCTGAGTGAGAGAAGGTCCAAAAGGGGCCCTGATGACCTCACTGAAGGGAGATCCTTTTCTCCCAAACTTAGTTGAGAGAGTCCCTTTCCACCCGGTAAACATCTACACCTAACTTAAGACCCAGTTCTAATGTCTCCTCCTCTCTGATCTACAGCAGCAGGTCTTCCTCGCCATTTGAAACATGTCCTTGTTCAAAACTGAACTCTTGTTCATTCTCTCAAATCTATTCTCCCCTTGTCTTTGCCATCTTAATAAATGACACCCCTCTACCCAGTTTCTCAAGCCAGAAATCTGATAGTCAGCCTTGATACATCCCTCTCCCTGGCGGTCTACCCCATCACTAAGCCCCTTTCAGTTCTGCCTCCAGAAAATCTCTTAACCCAGCCCCCTCTGTGCCCAGTGCAGGCCACTATCACCTTTACCCAGGGCTGACAGAAGACTGATCCTTCCCCTCTCACTTCTCCTGCCCCTGTTCTCTCTCTCCATTAAATCGTTCTGCTCAGTATTTGAGGTCTCTTAAGTCTCTTCTTTGCCATCTCTTTCATACTGTTACATTCTGAGTGATTTCTTCAGATCTTTCATTTTACTAATTCTCTTTAGGTACGTGTGTGATCTATTTTTCTTGTCTACTGAGTTTTTAGTTTCAATGATTATATTTTACATTTCCAGAAATTCCACTTGTTTCCTTTTCAAATCTGCTTGGTGGTTTTCTGCAGTATTTTGTTCCCTGCTTATTATTTCAAGCCCATCTTGGGCTCCTTTACATGTTTTTAAAACATTTATTCTAGATCTCATAAGTCTAGCATCTTTAGACTCTCAGTGAAACAAATTCTGTTGTTTCTTGATTTTGGTGTCTACTACTCACAACGACTTGTTTCCTTGTGTGTTTTGTAATTTAACCATGAGCTCCTATATGGCCAATCCCAAAGAGATCTTAGGAGAAGGATCTATTCTTCCAGAGAGGATTTTCACTTACTTTGGCCAGATTCCTTGGGGTGCTACCATCCTATGATACTTAAGCTTTAGGTTACTTACTTTTTTATGATACTTACTTTTTTAGGTTAGTATCTCTAGGACCACAAAAGGAATAGGTTTTCAAACCCAAAATTTGTGTGAGGGCAGATTAAAATTTATAATTTTCTAGGGAGCCTTTTTTCCTCCACCAGACCTGTCGTCCCCCTTTATGGGAGGGTGTCTACTTCTTTCCGGTCAATATTTCTATTTGTTGGGGGTATAGCCCTTTGGAGGTCCCAGATTTATGTGGTAGTGTAAGGGGGACAAACTTCAACTCCTCACACTGTGGGCTGGCTCATCCCTTGAGTGGTCATTAAAACTTGAGGTTCTATAGACTTCGGCTCAGGTCATGATCTCATGGTCCGTGAGTTCGAGCCCTGCATCTAGCTCTGTGCTAACAGCTCAGAGCCTGGAGCCTGGTTCATTCTCTGTGTCTCCCTCTCTCTCTGCCCCTCCCCACTCACACTCTATATCTTTCTCTCTCAAAAGAAATAAACATTAAAATTTAAAAAAAAAATTAAAAACAAACAAACAAAAAGGCCCTCCAGGTTTTAGATTTCTGGAATTTGTAAATACCCGCACATTGCTGTGGCTTCATCTCATTTATCAGCATGGTTTCACCTTCCTTTTTATTCTTGGCTTGAGAAGATTTCTGTTACTTGTAAGCTCAGGAATATATTTTAAAGGATGTTTGGAGTAACTCTTCCAGCCTCTAGGTAGTTTTTATAGGGAGAATGTTGGAAGCATTATTGCCTCTAACTCCTTCATCTCATAATAGCCAAAGTTCTCTTTTTAAAACCTGAATCTGACCATGTCACTTCTGAACTTGAAATTCTTCACTGGTTTTTCATTCCTCTTAGGATAAAGACCAAGTTTCTTTCCATGGCCAAAAGGCCCCATCATAAGCAGCCTCTGCCCCTCTCTTCATGAGAAGAGTGGCACAGTGTCTTCCTTTGTGCCCAGGGCTTAGCCTAGTGACTGGTGTTCAGTCCGCAAATTCTGTTGGATGAATTAGTGAAGCAGTGAGCACCTACCGCCCTGGGTATTCACCTGGAATTCTCTCCTTGAGCCCTCACAAAGCCTGTGAAGTAGAATTATTATCCCCATGGCAGACGAGGCACAGAGGAGAGGTGACTAAGCCAAGATCACATGCCCAAGCATGGGTTCTAACCAAGTTTCTGCCTGAGCCAGTGCCGTTCAGCTCAGCCCCAGGAAGTCAGCCCCAGGAAGTCAAGTCTGTTGTCCTGGCTTATGACGATCTCTAAACAATTCCAAAGCCAAGAGCCTACCTCCCATTTCTGCATAAACACCACCACCACCACATCCGCCTCTCATCAAGAAAGAGGTTCTGCCTGGTTGGTCCACATGGAAAGAAAGATGCATAGACAGACAGACATACAGCCCAGAGGTAAATCCCTCCCTTGGCAACCGCAGCACCTGTTCTGCTTAATTGTAATGAGGTGATTCTGAGGTGACCTCTCCAGACTGGGAGCTGCTCTGGGGTGGCCCTGGGGCTGATTTCCTCCTTCCTTCCCTCCCAAATACTCTCGAATCACTGGTTTTGGCCCAGCCCGGGCCCTGCCCTTGAAGATTTCATGGTCTACAGGAGTGACAGAGGCAGTGACAGAACCATCAAGGCAGCAATAATGGAAATCACTGAAGGCTAAGGAGGTCCAGAAGTGGAGGAGGAGCACTCAACAGAAGCTTTCTGTAAAAGATGGCACTGAATTGAGGACAAGATGGAGAAAGAAGTCCATGAAAGGGGAAAAGGAGCTAGAGTCATGATACCACAGTGACAAGGAGACGCAAGTTGTAGTGGCAACGTGGCAAGACAGGCTCTAGAAGGCCTTCTCTGGGCGGGTGAGGCACGGGTGTCCTGGCTGGCTAGGTGCATCAGGAAGGCTGGGACATTGACCCCATTTGACTTAATGACTGCATTAATTCACCACCACTGAGAATATCACTTACGTTCTTAATTCTCCCACCAGCCCAGAGGCAGGCATGCTTATCTGCATTTAACAGATAAAGAAATAGTGAGGACAGGATCCTAGTCTCCTCCACCAAGGAACCTAGAAGGCAGAAATGCTTTCCATAAAAGCAACCTGGCCAAAAACTTTTCTTCTTCCCCTGGCTGTGACTGAGGTCCCCACTTCTCTGCAGGCTATCCCCATGTCTTCAAGGCCTTTCTGCTCCTAGTCACCTTGCCGGCCCAGATGAATACATTACTGAGCTTCTGAGAGATTGATGGTGGCCTTTCCACTGTGGACTGGGGGGGGTGGGGGGGGGCGGGGAGGGGATGCTGAGCTGGATGGAGCTTAGAGCAGGGCTGGTAACTAATGCCAGGAGCTTTGGCGTCATAGAGGAGGGAGGCTTGAGGCTGGAGTGAGAAGGGAGCTGGAGGAGGGGGAAGGGGTGTCAGACAGCCTAAAGTCACCCCATTCTACCCCTGCCTCCCCCTCCCCATTAGTCTGCCTGGAAGCTGCTACCCTGACATCTGATGGGCAGAGCTGGATGGAAGAGGAGGACCTCTCAGTCCCCATGGTGGGGGGGAGTAGAGGCAGGCAGTGCAAGGAAGTCACTCAGGGAGCAGACTGGAGCCAGAGCTGGCTTTTCCTCCCCGCTTCACCATTCCAAGGGGAACTCTGGCTGAGGGGGTCAGGGTGATCTGTGCATGGGGAACTATCACTTCCAAAGTAAACTTTCTTCTTGTAAGTTTTTTTAGAGAGCACAGGCTGGGGGAGAGGGGTGGAGGGAAGAAGATGGAGAGAAAGAGAGAGAGAGAATCTGAAGCAGGGCTTGAGCCCTGACACAGGGCTGAGGCCTCAATCCCACCACTGTGGGATCATGACCTAGGCTGAAACCAAGAGTCGGATGCTCAACTGACTGAGCCACCCAGGCACCGCCCCCCCAAAGTGACCTTCCTAAATTGCATATATGGTTGTGACTCTCCTTTCAGACACTCCCCCTTAGCTGTGAATAAAACTGAGTATGATGTGGCATGGTGGGGTGTGATGTGGCCTAGTGCAGTGTGTCCTTCAAGAGTTTTGAAAGCAGATAACCCTGGTCTCAAACTACAGCTCAGCAATTACTTGTTGGAAAAAGCTGGAAAGGTTCTTTGACCTCTATGAGCCTCAGTTTCCTCATCAATAAAATGAGAATGGCAGTACTTACCCCTTGGCATTGGTTGAGAAGAACGACTAAGACAATGTAAAGCACAATAAGAAGTATTCAGGAAATGTTAGCCATGTTACTTTTTTTTCTACGATTATGTATTTCCATCATGTCTAGAACAACATTACTTCTTTTTTTTCATCTATTTATTTTTGAAAGAGAGAGCGAGCGAGCAAGAGAGCGCAAGCAGGGGAGGGGCAGAGAGAGAGAGGGAGAGAGAATCCCAAGCAGGCTCTGCACTGTCAGCACAGCGCCCAACACAGGGCTCCATCTCACAAACTGCGAGATCATGACCTGAACCAAAACCAACAGTCGGGGGCTTAACTGACTGAGCCACCCGGGTGCCCCTGGTGCAACATTACTTTTATAATAAAACCAAATAACTTCAAAACATGGAGTGTACATATCCTATGACCCAGCAATTCCACTCCTGTGGGACAACCAAGAAGATAACTCACATACATACAAAGAACAACCTTACAAGAATACTGTTTGAATAGCAAGATATTGGGAACTACCTCAATGTCCATAAAGAAGGCTGATAAATAAATGGGGGACTCTACACTGGGTGGTATATCATACATCAGGGAAAGTGGGGACCAGAGCCGCAAGGATCAAGAAGGCTACATCTCAGAAACCTGAAGCTGAGTGAGAAAAAGCAAGCTGTAGAATGATTCATGCTATATTTATATAAAAATTTTAAAGTCAGAACAAGCTACATTTTTTTAGACTTATACACACTCAGCAAAAGACTAAAAACAGTCTTTTGACAAAACCAATAATACTGTAACAGTGTTGTATGGTGACAAATCGTAGCTACGCTTGTGATGAGCACAATATAATACAGAGAAGTTGAATCACTATGCTGTACACCTGAAACTAATGTAACATTGTGTGTTAACTATACTCAAAACATTTTTTAAAAATAAAATACGGAAGTAACAAAACCAAAATTCAGGAAGGTGGGAGGAGGAGGGGAGGGTCTACATGGGCTTCAACAGTCTCTGCTGTAGTTTATTTCTTAACAAGAAGAATATGAAATAAATGGGCATGATGTTAACATTTGAAAAGGTTGGATGATAAGGGCATGGAGTTCATTTTATTATATGCTATATTTTTCTGAAGTCTTAAAAATATTTTATAATTTTTGACGTGGTGGAGATTTAAAGTTCAGTTTGTTTACCACTGACCTTAATATACTGGGTTGGGCCCAGAGCAGGCCTCGGGAGTGTTTGCTGAGTAACTAAATGAGTGTCTATGGTGCAGGTGGAACTGCTTTGCCTCTGCTCTGCTCAGACCTCACCAAGATGGCACTGACCAGGGACAGGGGCAGACGGACCTGTGTGGCCTCAAACAAGAGTGGGACCTGCAAAACATGCAGTGGGGACAGGGTTTGGTTCAGAATGAGGAAGATCCACCAGTGCTAGGAGACTGAGCTTGTTGCCCTGGAGAGGCCAGAGGAGCCTGGAGCTGTAGAGTGGACTGAGGCAGGGATATGAGTGTGGAAGGAAGAGGGATGAATGTGGCTTCTAGCCTGGGAGTTCAGGATTCTTTGATAGGTGCCCTGTTTCATGCCTGCCTTCTCTCCTGGAAGCTTCTTTTCTGGGCCCAGTGGGGTGGTGCTTAGTCAGGGCTGGGCAGAGGGGGCCTAACCAGACTCCAGATTTAGAGACTCCCGGCCTCCCTGTATTTTCCAAAGGAGGGATCAGAAGTCTAGGGAGGATAAAGGACGTGGCCAAAGTCATACAATAAACATGGCCAACGCAAAACTCACCCAGCAGCCGTCCTCCAGGCAGGGGTGTCCCCCAGTGACCCAACTTCTAAGCCTTCACCCAGGATGCACACACAGGCCCTATGGAGGTCTGAAGCTGCAGCTGGCACCAGTCTCACCTTCCTGTTCATGTGTTAGCCCTGAGGCCCTTGGCAAATATTGTCTCTGGTGGTGAGGCTCTAGGTAGGGCAGGCACACCTCCTGGCTCACCTGAGCCAGATCTCCACCCAGCAACCTCCTAGAGTCAGGGCTCCCAGCAGACGCCCCCCATCCACCGGGGCCCAGGAAGGGGGAGAGTTGCTCCACATCTCCAGCACCTAGCATCTATCACTGCTACAGGGATTCTACACATTCCTCAGAGAGATGGGGATGCGCAGAAGAGCCATGTTGAAGGGACAACACCCACCTTTATTACCCCAGTTCCTGCTGCACCCAGAGGGCACAGCTGATTCATATCTTAGCTTTTCAATTCCTTCAAATATCCTAGAATCTGAAGCAGTATGGCATGCGGGTGGGGACTCTGGAATCAGAGGGAGATGGGTTCGAGTCCCAGATCCACCTTTCACCTCCTGGGTGAAGGGATGAAAGCAACCCAAGAGTTATGCCTCAGTTTCCTCATCTGTAACGGAGATGATAACAACAGAGCCCACCCACAGGTGTAAACGCCACGAGAGGAGGGAAGCGGCTCTGACGTGGCCGTTACTATAGCCAGCTTGGTGCCAAAGTTGGGACCCTGAGCGGAGTGATCGCCCCAGGGTTCCCGGCGCCTCCGCTCTCCTCGTGCGAGTGTCCGCAGCCCCCTCCCACTCCCCGGCTCCCGGAGGCCAGGCGCAAAGCCAGGCCGGGGTGGGGGGCTGGAAGCCGCAGTGCAGGCGGCGGGCCGGGAGCACAGGGAATGCCCGGGCCCGCGCCCGGCCCCCGGCCCCCCCCAAACCCCGGGGCCGCCCGCGCCGCGCACTTACCCCGCTGGCAGGGCGTCCGCGGCGCCGGCCGAGCTCATGGCGGAAGGGGGCGGGCAGCGTGCCCCGCCGGACGCCAGCCGCGGCACAGGTGCTACCGCCGGAACCCCGAGCCGGGCGCGGTGCGGCCCAGCCGCAGACGCGGCGGTCGGGGAGGGGCGCGCTGGGGGCGGGGAAGGCGGCGGGGCCGGGCCGGGCCTCGGTCTGCCCGCCCGCGCAGTGGGGCCACGGCCGCCGCCCGTCTGCGGCCGAGTGGACCCTAGGGCTGGGCGGGGGGGGGGGCTCGGGATGCGCCTCCGCCCTCAGCTCTCACAGGTGAGAGGCCCGGGCGCCCAAGGTCCGCCGGACCCATGCTGTGTGCCCTCGGGGTGCGCACCCCCAGGGACGGGAGCTCCCGGCTGTCTGACACAGCCCCACCTACTTGTGGCCAGAAACTTCTTAGGCCCGCGGTCCACCTCCCCGCCACTCTCCCCTCCCCCACATCTCCCGCCTCGCTGCGGCCCCCACCTGAGCCCTTCGTCATCCTACTGCATTGGTGGGGGGCATTCACGCTGGGAAACACGCGGCCTCCAGCGTCAGGCTTGGGTTTTAGTGCTCCATTTTGCCCCCTGCGTGACTGCGTGCGAAGGACAAGACCACGGAAGATAGCTCAGTTTAGCACTCAGCGCTAGTCAGTGGTTCACACTCGCCTTCTTAAATAGTCCCCATAGCTGCCATTTTAGAGACAGAGAAGTTGAGGCACAGAGTTTTTGTGACTTGCTCAAGTTAATTCACCCAATAAATGGCAAGATGTGACTGGAAACTGCCCCTCCTGACTCCGGGGTGGACATTTTTGTTTTCCCCCCTTGGTGCCCTCCCCTCTGGGTCCCCAGCCCCTATATGGGATCACCCACAACACTCCTCAAACGCTGTGCACGTAGCCTTGAGGTATATGTCTAGGGCTAGGGTTGAAGCCCACCTGGCCTTCTGACACAAAGAGCCACTGGCCCATAAAGAGTTAACCAGCCACCACTTCCAGGCCCCAGATGCTCTTAACCATGACTCATCATAGCACGTGGCTGCCATTAGAACTGTCCCTTCACAAAGGAGGGGACAGAAGGAGGAGGGACTCCAGGCCCCTGGATCAACCCTTCACTCCAGGATGTCAGAAGAGGAAGCAGGAGGAGCCTGTAGAAGCAGCCATGGTAGGAAGAAGGCTCAGACTAGGTCCTGGGAGAGCCAGGCGGATTGGGCCTTGTGGCAGAGGGGAGATGTTTAGATTACTGTTAAACCTAGATGGGCTGCCTGGAAAGGTAGTGAGTTCTTATCCTGCCCATCTGTGAGCAGAGGCTAGATGTTCACTTGCAAGGATCATCCTACCTCTCTGATTCTCAGACCAGGCACAGAAAAGGTAATTAAATACAAAGAGCAGGCTATAATGACACCCATAGACTGGAGGGGTGGGGTGACCGCTTCTTAGAGAAGGTGGGCACAGAGTTGATCCTTCAAGTTTATATTGTTTATACACAATAAAGTTGTGGAAGAGGTGTACCAGATGGGAGAGCAGCATGGGTGAATGCATGGAGGTGGGCAAAGGCACACAGATGTCAGCTGGAGTTTGTGAACTTGTGAGAAGACCAGCAATGTGCATGAAGAGGAGACTCGGTAATGAGCCTGGGACACCCTATCACACGCCATGTCCTTTCAAATCTCTGGGCACGTGTACATGCTCTTCCCTCTGTCTGGGACACACCTTCCTTCCTTGTCACTTATTATTCATTCATTTAATCAGGGTTCGATCCAGAAGCCTACAATTTAAAAAAAAAAAAAAAAAAAGAATACAAATTTACCAATATAAAACTGCCAGGGTTCTGCCAGAGCCCTGGAAAGGGCAGAGTGAGGGGTTCTGAAGCTTTGTGCTACATTAGCTACAGGTAAATTTTTATTGTATTTAATCAACATTTATTAAGGGCCTGACATATGCCAAACCTTCTACTGGCCCTGCAGGTTTCATTTCAGGCACCACCTCTTCCAGAAAGTCCTCCACCCCCAGATGGGTCAGGGGCTTCCTGGGCACACACTGTCCCAACCCCCTATGACCTGCCCTCATCACTCTGGGCTGACACCATCTGTGTGTGATAGTGCTGGAGTGAGGTTTATATGTGATTGTCTCTGCCATCAGACTGGGAACTTCTGGAGGGTCGGATCTGGTCAGACATCTCTGTATCCATATCTGATTAATCACCAAACACCAACACCAGACCTGGAACTTTACCATTTCCATCTGAGGTAATTATAATAATGACTGATGTTCACCAAAAGCTTATTACATGACACACATGTTAAGTGTATGACATGGATTATCTCATTTAATCCTCACTTTTAACCACCTTGATGAGCCTCAGTTTCCTCATCAGTAAAATGGAAATACTGCCTGCTTCAAAGGGTGGTTGTGAGGATTAAGAATTCATGTATCTAGGGGTGCCTGAGTGGCTCAGTCGGTTAAGCGTCCGACTTCGGCTCAGGTCATGATCTCATGGTTTGTGGGTTCGAGCCCATGTCAGGCTCTGTGCTGACAGCTCAGAGCCTGGAGCCTGTTTTGGATTCTGTGTCTCCCTCTCACTCTGACCCTTTCCTGCTCAAGCAGTCTCTCTCCCTCTCAGAAATAAATAAAAACATTTAAAAAAATAAAAAAGAATTCACGTATCTAACCACCTCACATGGGTCAGAGTGGCTAAAATGAACAAATCAGGAAACTATAGATACTGGCGAGGATGTGGAGAAACTGGCGCCCTCCTACACTTTTGGTGGGAATGTAAACTGGTGCAGTCCCTCTGGAAAACAGTGTGGAAGTTACTCAAAAAATTAACAATAGAACTCCCCTAAGACCCAGCAATAGCACTGCTAGGAATTTACCCAAGCGATACAGGAGTGCTGATGCATAAGGACACATGTACCCCAATGTTCACAGCAGCACTCTCAACAATATCCAAAACATGGACAGAGCCTAAGTGTCCATCTTCTTGAATGGATCAAGAAGATGTGGTTTATCTATACAACGGAATACTACATGGCAATGAGAAAGAATGAAATCTGGCCATGTGTAGCAACATGAATGGAACTTGAGGGTGTTAGGCTGAGAGAAATAAGTCAGGCAGAGAAGGACAGATACCATATGTTTGCACATATAGGTGGGTTAGGAGGAACTTAACAGAGGACCATGGGGGAGAAGGGGAAAAATAGTTGGGGAGAGGGAGGGAGGCAAGCCATGAGAGACTCTTGAGAACAAACTGAGGGCTGATGGGGGTGGGGAAGAAGGAAGGGGGGTGATGGGCATGGAGGAGGGTACTTGCTGGGATGAGCACTGGGTGTTATATGGAAACCAACTTGACAATAAACTATTTAATAAAAATAAATAAACATTAATACACAAAAAAAAAAGAATTCATGTATCTAAAGTGCCCAGCATAGTGCCTGATGTGTAACACAATTACATGCAGTGCTCTGACGGTGGTGATGGTGAGGTGGATGCCATTATTCTCAACATTTTACAGATGAAAACTGAAGCTCAGCAAGCAGCCAGGCTGCCTTTGGAACTGGACCTCTCCCCACACAACAGTGGCAGTGATGTTAGAGCCACTCACCTCATGAGTCAGAGCAGCAGAATGGCCCACCCCTCAGGAGGGCTCCACCCAGGCAGCTCCCAGCCCCCAGGAGCACTGGCCCAGCCAGAACCCTGGGGAGCCTGGGAGTCACCATTATTTCTGCCTCCCAACCCAGGTGACCTGCCCATCCCCACCTAGAGTGGATAGCAAGCTATGGGGACCAGGAGAGTAACCTGAGTCCTGGGTCCCTTCCTTCCTTGCTGGGGGAGTTTCCTGGTACTTTGTGTATTCGAGATGCCAGTCCTGCTTTCTCTCTTATTTTCTTCCCAGCCTACAAGAAAAATCACTGGGCTCACCACAATTGATGGCGCTGAGAACCTCCAGGGACTACTTTTACCAGTACCATCTCTCAGCTTAAGGCGGCCCTCAATAAATAATCTGTTTCATGAGACCTCCTCAGGATGCTCCAGAAAGCTCCACAGTGGCTTTTATCTCCCATCCCACAGATGAGAAAACTGAGGCTTGGACCAAGTGTGACTTGGAATCAGGTCTTGACTCCTTATCCTGTAGGAAAAGTATGTGGAAATGGGAGGGGGCATTATAGAAATATGGCTATAAGCATGTGAATAGTGATGCCATTGCTGTAGAAACAGCTTAAGTTGTGAAATCTGCTCTGTCTCTACCTCTCTGACCCTCAGTCTTCCCATCTATAAACTTGAGATAACAGTGCTAGCCTTTCAGGGATGTTGTGAGGCTTACTGAGCATTCCTCAGGTTGACCCCCTTGGCCCCTTCCCGTCCCTCTTCTCAGTCCCTTCCTCCAGGCCTTTCCCTGACATGAGGCACCTGCCCACTAGCTGTCTCTACCAGCCCAGAACTACCCAGAACTAGCCAAACTGAAGAGCCCCCCCCCCAACCCAGCTGGCTGGTGACTGTAAAGCGGGTTTCCTTAAAGTAAATGGGCCCCACCCAGCAGATTACAAGCTTGGGCAGGTTAATAATTCACAATCAACAGGCCCATCAAGAAACGGCCCTCGAACAGGGCAGTGACAGTCACAGTTCTCAAATATTCCTTGGCAGGGGCTCTTACGGAGGACCTAGGCCTACGTGTTGGGCCAGCCTCCTCCCTCTCTATGAACTCTGACTCCCACTAGCTGTGTACCCTTGGGCAAGTAACCACCCCACTCTGGCCCTTAGGTTCCTTTTCTCCCCCATATAAAGGGGGAGAGAAGGATGGACCAGGAGCTCAAAGCCCTTCCTTGCTCTGATGATCTTGGTTCTGGGATCTGAGCTCTTCCATCAAAGTCTGGTTTCCAGGAGCTGTTGACAGTTGGATCTAAGGAAGGAGGAGCCCCAGTCAGTCATGAGGGACCTAAACCAGTTTTGGTTTTAAAAAAAAAAAAAGAGGCAGAGCTCTAATGAGGTGTTTCAGTCATTGACTGGCATCCTGTAGGGGCTTAGAAGTTGGGCTGCAGAGCCAGGAAGATCTGGATGGATTTCTGGCCCCACCATGTCCTAGCTGTGCAGTCCCAAGCAAATGACTCTATGAGCTTGAGGCAGGGCAGGGAGTGGTTCAGAGAGGTTAGCACCCCAACTCTGACACCCTGGATCAGTGACTGCAGCTCTGAAAGCAGGATGATGACAGCACCAACCTCATGGGCTGTTGCAAGGACTGAATGAGGTAACACACATA